ATTACAGGTTCACTATTTATTTCTAACTAGTTTAAATAGATGCCTTAGGCATCCATCCACTATATAATCGTTGTCGCTCTATATATCTCCTTCTCTCCTTCTCTCCTTGTTGAATATTATATATCTTATCTAGTACCCGTACTAGCCCCGTGATAATATAATTTGTAATTATTAAATAAATAATTATTGAAATAGTAATAAAAAGTTCAAGTTATAAATCGAAAGTTTTTAAATTTAATATAAATATAATTCTAAATTAAATCTTTTTATTATTAATCAGAAATCATTTTGAATAATTCATCATTTCAAATATGTTCAATGATTGTACCCCTCTTTCTTTTGCCGGGTTTGCTGTGATTAGGCATATATATCTATTGCCCGAACCCGTACCGCCAACCAAGCTACGGCTATGTGACTATGATCCTATGATCAGTCCTGCCGCTGTATTTAATAAATGAGTTGATGATTGAAGATTAAAGTCTGTGTTATGGTTATGGGGTGGTTGCTGGGGGAAAATGAAATCTTATGTGGTCGCCCGGACAAGAATATCAGAATATCAGAATATCCCTGTAACCGAATGTTTTCCCTTCTAGACCCCCGATTTCGTGTCATTCTCTCAGTACAAACAAATGTCAATAAATTCACAATTAAGGATTCACGAGTAGTGCGATAACGATAACATGCTACACAAACCATTTAATTGGTTTCTCATTATTCCATCAAGTTCCTAGAGTTGTTTACTGCTTCTATCATCATCGCCGCCGAATTCCTCCCCGCGAGTGTACTACTCCCTAACGAGAGAGAAGACACAACATACGAAAGCTGCGACCAAGTACGAACGAAAGAGCGAATGCGACGCGTTGAACTGTCTGCAATGCAAGATGGTAGAGGAAGATGATTTTACAATGTCGACTTTGTCAATAACATCGGCAACGGATTCACGACCACAAACTGCGCGACAGGATTCGGAAAACGAGGCATTCACATTTCATAATATTGAGGATTTAATGGCGGCAGATAGGAGTGATAATAATGATTCAATTTCTTTGAATTTACAGGGTTTCGAGCAAAATAATCGAGTGCAATCTTTCGACCCTACAAATTTACCTTCCCTTCCCCCTCCGACTGATAGCAGCGTACTTTATGCTCATAGCGACAATGGAGATAATCGAAGTGAAGGTTTGCTCAGTGCCGTGGACGCAAAGGCAATGGAACGACACCTGGACAATGTCGAATCGAGTTTTCTTCCGAGTGTTTCACCAATCGGTATACACGACAAGGCTGGTGCTGATGATACATATCTATTTGATGCGGATCGGAATGGTGGAAAGCCCCCCGCAATGGAAACACAAACGCCCAAGAAGAGCGTTTGGAGCAGTGAAAGTGAGGGATTTGGTTCGCCCCCAACACCAGACGGTGCATACAAAACTCCAGGTCCTGCCCCTCGATACTCTGTGCAAGTAGAACACGATGATTCGGAACAAATTGGGGACACGACATATCCTCTCGAGACCCTTTCGTCGTCTCCTACAGCCGCTGCTGCCGCGAGAACTATATCTCGAGCAATGTCAATGGCAAGTATGGGGGATAATTTTGAAACGGCATCACAATCTCTCGCTCAATCAAAGGAACAATCAGACGAGGAGGATATGGAAGCGACACCGACAAGATCCCGCCAAAATTTACGTGCATTCGCCGAATCGGCAAATGACAGCTCAAGCCTGCACCATGAATCGTCGAATCGGAGCTTAAACCAGCATTTGACGGTTGATGCCGGTACGACTCCAGGGGCCTCGCTCTCCATACGAAATGCTTCTAGACCTAAATTCCTTACCAGTCGACACTCAAGTCAGCGATCTTCTGTTTCTTCTTTTATCACGAACACTGAACACCATGACGATCGAAGCGACGCTACACTGGGTGCAGATTATGCTTTGCAATCTGGGGGTGCGGCTCCTTCAAGAGGATTATCGCGGAGTGGGAGCATGACGTTATCTAGGACTATAAGCTTGGGAAGTATGGCATCCGGTATTGACGAGAGTGTTGATTCATACGGAAGAGTGGAGGGACCACTAGCGACCCTTGCTGAAGAAGGTTCAATTCGTGGGAGGAGTGAACATCAAACGAATTCTGCCCCCGAGACACCTCGAGCATCTAGTCGACCAATGGACCCACCCACCGATACAATCATTGCACGCCACGTTCGCAATGTCCACGTACCTGAATCAATGGCTAAAGACTTTCGTACCAAGCACGGTGTGCATGCACCCAGTAAGTCTGCAAATCTTGCGGCATCTGCTCTAGGTCACCGAAATGGTAAGAATCTCACCTTGAAGGAACAGAGCAGCACAATCGAAAGGTTATCGAAGGAGAACTTTGATTTAAAATTGAAAGTCATGTTTCTCAGCGATAGATTAGACAAACTTTCCGAGGAAGGTGTCAAGGAAATGATTTCTGAGAACGTTGAACTCAAGACAGGTCTGGCGGTCATGCAGAGAGATAACAAAGCTCTTCGGAAAAAGGCAAAAGACCTCGAGAAACAGCTCAAAGATGACGAGGACCGACCATCTACAGCTCGATCGGGTACATCTACAGAAGGTAGTTCGAGATGGTATCAGGAAGGCGCATTCGAACGGGAAGAGGAGCTTCTCTACTTACGAGAGAAGGTCGAGGAATATGTGACAGAAATCGAACGGCTGAGAAACGAAAGTCTTGCTCGGGAAAACGAGAAGAGAAATCTCGCAGAGTTAGTTCGGACAATTGGGGAGAGACGAGGTCAGAATATTGAGACACGAGAAGAAATGGATGTTTGGAAAGATCTTCTTGAGCAAGAAACTGCGCGCAGAGAACAAAGCGATGATGAGATCAAAACACTCCGAGAAGAGATCTTCCGAATGAAATCTGAGTCGACAGCTGGAGGACATGGATTGAATCATACGACTAATATTTACAATATTACGAAGAAACGTCTTTTATCACCTTCACGACCAAAGTCCGAGATGTCTGATCGTACGCAAGAGGACAGGAATGGTACATACAGTTCGGCAAGCACGTTGGCCGAGGAGATTCGACGAGACAATGAGCAACTTCGACATGAGAATGCAGAGCTAAGACGAGAAGTAGGAGCACAGACATCAATGTTGACTTCACGGAATCGCGAAAAGGAAAGACTTTACCAAGAAATCGAGGACTTGAAACTTGGTCAGAGGAGAGGAGATACTTCGGTGGCTGGGGAAAGTATTTTCGAACGATCTGCATCACGAGCACACGAACGATCACTATCCAGAACCAGTGCAGGCACAAGGCAAACAAACATGGATGAGGCTGAGCGTGAGGATTTCGAAAATAAGCAAGCCGAACTTCGAGACAGAATCAACAGCCTAAAAATCCAAAATCAAATTTTACAACGTGAGGTAACATCTTGTCAGAAAGATTTTGAGACGGCCGTTTTGCATAAAAATGAAGCTGAGAGATTAGCTCAACAATTGCAGGAAGATTTGGAAGTCACCGACAGCGATTTACTCACAATGCAAGCCGAACGGGACGAAGCACTTCGAGGCCAGGAGGAAACTGAAACGATGTTTCATTCATTGCAAACAGAAGCCCAACAAGAGCTTGATGGGTTTTCTGCAGAGCTAGAAGAAGCCAACGCGGTAAATGAGCGTCTTCAGGCTGAACTCGCTGATGAGAAAGAGAATTTCATTGCCCTCCAGAATGAGATGAGAGAAGTGAGTGACATTGTTCTCAAGTTGGAGGATGATCACGACCAAAAATCCAAAAAGATTTACGAACTCGAAAAGGACTTAGATGACGCCAGTAGAGAGCTTGAGGAAATTGAGAAGAATTATGTCGACTCCAATAAAAAGGTCGACCGACTGAATGTTCAACAAGAATCGAGCCAAAACGAGATTGCATTCCTTCGGGAAGAACAAGATGGAGACAAGATTAAGATCGGTGATCTTGAGGCCGCAATTCGAAATTTGGAGCACGCTCTTCAGGAAGAACAAGAACGTGCCAGAGAACTTGATGAACGTCTTGATGAGGAGAGACATCAAAGAGAAGTTGTTGCTGGCCAGGAAAAACAAGAGATTCAACAATTCGTTAATGATCTTAACCGTGAAGCAACGACTGCCAAGGACGAAGCTCGGAGATTACGAAAGAATCTTACTTCGAGGGAAGTTGAGGCCGCAGAGTGGAAGCAAAGACTTTTGGAGCTTGAGAACAATCTTAGGGAAGCACTTGGTGATCTTAATGGCACCAGGTCAAGTCTGTTAAATGTATGTTTATTGCATCTCATCCTTCCATATGTACTAATCTGGTGTTTACAGTCCATCGCAAAACTTCAACGCGAACTCGAAAATACCATTCGTGACCTAGACTCCACCAAAGCGTCCCTTGCGGAAAAGGAACGTATGATCAAACAGCGTGACGACCTCCTGGAATCTCATGCTCTCGAATCCCGTAAATTAGCAGATATGCTGGACAAAGAACGCCAGACTCATCGTCTCACCAAAAATCAGTATGAGACATCCCAAAAGACATCGTCGCATACTACTCGAACTCTTTCGCAACAAGAATCTCGTGTTCTCGAACTCGAAACATCTCGTCAACAAGATAGGAGAAAGATAGCACAGCTAGAGAATAATTTCAAGGAACAACTTACTGAAAGAAATAACTTGCTGTTGGGCTTGTGGGGAAGGCTGGCCAGTCTTTGTGGGACAGATTGGTCTCACAATAACTCACTTATCAATGGTCGTGCCCTACCGTCGCTAGAAGTAGTATCAACAATGTTTCCAGGTTTCGCAAAGAATCTTCTAGCTGCTGTCAAAACCATCGAAACCCTCGTTGGAGATTTCAGGGGAAGAGTGAAGGATTTGGATAGACGACTATGGAAGGAATACTCGACACTGGAGAATAGATTTGAGATGCAGTCTAAGAAGTTGGATCGGTTAGAGACAATGGCGAGGAGTGCGGTCCCGCTCAATAGTATGGACAGTAGGGCGGAGGTGGTGAAACTGAAAGACCTAAATCGCAGCCTCAAGAGCGAAATCTCGACTTTGAAGGCAGCAAATGAAGTTAGAGCAGGTGCCTATGAGACATCAACATCGCCTTCCCCATCAGTTCATACTGGTCCCCGCCGTAGGATTGATAATTCAAGATCCTCAACCATGACCCGCCATTCTTCCGCCTCGACTGTCGAAAACATGGCACGCGCCGAGCCATCCCGATCCGGTGCTACTTCCAGTGCCATGGCTAGAATGGAAGGTGAAGAGGAATACAAGCCAGATCTACGGTGGCAAGTTAGGTTGCAGGAACTAGAGTATAAGTTGAAGGCGGAGAGGGAATCAAGGAAATTGGATCGAATAAGTGCGGCGCAACGATTAAGAGAGAAAGAAAGGGAGAATATAGAATTGATGGAGCAGATGGAGAGGGGTCGAATTAGGGAGGGAAGAAGTACTGGCTCGAGTAAATGAGAGGTGAAATCAGTACGAGGTAGATCTGGGGCGTTGGAGGGGATTCGAGGATTATAGGCGTAGAGGAATGGAAATGGGAATAGGATTACGATGGAGAAGGTATAAATGGGCCGGCGTTCTTTTGCCAAAGTTATATCTTGGGTGCAGCGCATGGCGTCATGGCGATTGGGAAATGAAATATCCATAGAACGGATGGTAGCTGAGTGTCGATGTGTAACCCGTAATGAACATCTGCGAGGTAGTCTAGTTGGAGTATTTGCCCCAAAGGTGAAATATCGTGGATAAAATTCACATTTTAGATTTTGACTATTGTTCCTCTCGGTCTCGAACAGTGATTGCTTCTGGTGATTTATATCTAGGTGGAATGAAATCTTGGTGCTTGTATATTGGTGTTGGAGTTTAGGACGGGGTATCCAACTTGTGGTTCGGATTGCTGTCGAACCATAATAATATAATCTTAATTGAATATATGAAGAATACTGAAACTATTTTAATTATTGATATTGAATATATTTGAAATCGGTGCGATGATCGTATATTAAAACAGAGTTGAATAGTAAGAAGGTTTTAGATAGCGTGTATAGCTTACTTTAATATATAATACAGAATCTCTACTTTTATTATTATAGAATAAAAAACGGGAAATGAATATATTCAGAGTATTAAGATTAGTATAATATTTTAAATATATTTAATAAATCAAGATGTTAAATACAAGGTTCGCCGATGAATCATCACGGGTGTACATGTCATCGTCTTTGGGCATTTATGTTCCACTTACCGGTAACATCCATTCAGAATAATGAAATAACTGATCATATCAAAATAATATCGAAGATCTAGAAATAGATGACACTGAAAAACTTTAGATGTCGAAACGGACTATTTACGGACCAGACTTTCTCCGTTCAAAATAGTAAATGCTGCTGCTGCTGCTGCATATACTGAAACTTGGTGTTCTTTAAGATTCGGGATCCAAGATTACAGGGTGGTTACGTACGTTGAATGCAGGTCCCTATCCATATTCAAATATGCACCCGCAACGTTGTGTTATGGGCCGCCGGAAGAGGCGCAAATTGAGTGCTGACTGTGTTAAGACGGGAGGATTTTGGTGGTTATGAGATGGGTGCGACGACAGAGGAGGGGGAAAAGCTTGATTCTTGTAATTTGTAAGATTGTATTAGATAGATAAATGATTCTTTGTAGATCTTTATATTTTTTTTAATTTAATTTACTTCCTACAAATTCTAATCTATAATCTCTTCCCTTGTAATTGATCCACTTCTTTAAAAGCTTCTTTTTCCTTCAACTCCTGATCTTCTTCGTCACTTTCTTCCACTTCTATTTTCTGTACCACGGCCAATTCTTCAATTCTTCTCCTCTCATCCTCTTTTCCTCATCTCATCTCCTTCATCTCATCTCCTCATCTCATCTCATCTCCATCTCCTCTTCTCATCTCCTCTTCTCATCTCCTCTTCTCCCCTCCCCCAAACCCCTCGATTACTCAAATCATCCCTACATGACCGGAAAACTGGACCAATTCCTTTTGAAATAGACACACGCACGTCTTCCTCTTCCAGCTTCTTTCTGCAACAACTATGAATTACGACCATTAAAACTTTTCCTTCATACACACATTCATTTATAGAGAATCCCATACAAATCTGGGACACCTTCTATACTTCTATACTTCTCTATCTACTATCTACTATCTACTATCTACTATCTATCCACTTTACCGCAGCTGTCAACGCGGCACTTTTCACACAACTAATAATACCTTACCTTCTTTCTACCTTCTACCTTCTACCTTCTACTTCTTTCTACAAATCTCTTGCAACAATTGATTCATTTTAAACCGTTAATTATTTCAAATATAATTGATGATTGAAATAGTTTCAATATTTGAGATATGTTCAGAAATTAAGAATATCTTATTGTTGGATTGTAGTCCGGACTATTGGATACCCTGGTTACCAGGCTACCAAGACCTGTTACTTGATTCTATAACTTCGGGTCGTACTTTCCAAACTACCATCTTCTTTTAGCTTTTACTGTACTCGAGTACATTGAATTTTCACCTTCATTCCAGCGAAATCGTCAATCTGCCGTCAATCTCTCGCCATTTCATCCCTCTCCCGCACACTCGAATAATGCCAATATCTTCACCCATCCTCATGGCCTATCCGGGTCCCCCTCGAAGAGCTAGAGGATTCATTCGATATATACTTGGTGCATTGGGGATCCTCCTACTTGTATTCTATTTCAGAAGCTCGGCAGAAACATCATCATTCAAATATATGACCCCCACGGTATCCGATCCTTCCACAACAAATCACCCCTCGAAAACATATTCGGAACTTCCTTCCAATAACGAGTTACCTATTTCCATTCCAAAACAGAAACTGGAACATCCTATCGATACCTTGATTGCAAATGCAGAAAAGACTTTCGAAGATTTATTACAAAATGAAAGCCACGATGTGAATGCCGCCGCTGCAGAATATCGCAAACGAAGAGGAAGACATCCACCACCGGGATTTGATGCATGGTTTAAATTCGCTCAAGAACATGACGCTGTCATGGTGGAGGAATTCTTTGATCAAATATATCATGATTTAGGTCCATATTGGGGAGTTACTCCCGCGAGAATGCGAACACAAGCTAGAGATGCCGGTATGGTTATTAGTATTCGAAATGGGAATGCGACGGCAGATAGCGATTGGTTCTGGACACAAATTTGGTTGCAATTGATCGGGACGATACAAAAGGATTTGCCAGATATGGATATTCCTCTCAATGCCATGGACGAGCCAAGGATAATTGCTCCATGGGAGTTGATTAATGAAAACATGGAGGTTGAACGGGCTACTCGAAAACTCGCAGATGTCAGTGAAGTATCTGAGGATTATGGAAGTCTACCAGCTCCACGACGTTCTGGTGATGGAGAGGAAGACCCACCAAAAAGAGAATGGGAGGAGTCAGGTATGTTATAGGGAGTGATTCGCTTGGATATTAAAGGATTGACATTTACAGGTCCATACTGGGAAATTGCGGCCAGAGGTTGTCATCCAGATAGTCTTGCACGTCGAGCTGAAGTTATGACCGACTTTTCGAAAACACCTGCGATTTCCATGGGACATTCTTCTTTGCATACTTACAAAGGTTATGTCTCAAATTATAGTCTGTCCGCGGATTTCTGTCATCAACCTGACATGCAATCCCTTCATGGAATGATGATTAATCCTCTCTCCATCTCTTCCACGAAAGAATTGTTCCCTCTTTTCGGTGGTTCCAAACTTCCCACCAATAACGAAATCTTATTGCCCGCGCCAATGTACTGGGCAAAAGAGGAAAGGTTTTCAGGTGGTGATGATCATGGAGCTCCTTGGCATGAGAAATTGAATAAGGTCATCTGGAGAGGTGTTGCAACTGGAGGACGAAACAAAGAAGATAATTGGAAAGGTTTCCAACGCCATCGCTTCGTCTCCATGACAAATCATACATCAGTTTCACGAGCTGAATCTTGGGAGGCAATCCCTCCGAATTTCGCACTTCCCACCTCCATTTACAACATCGGCGCACAACAAGAAAATAGACTTGGGGAATGGGTCAGTGAATGGTCAAATGTTGGATTTATCGAGTTGATGTGTACTGGTGATCGACAGGATGGGACATGTCCTTATACGGATCCTTATTTTTCTATCAAGGAAGGTCAAAAGATGTCTCAACAATTCAACAACAAATACATTCCTGATATCGATGGCAATTCTTTCTCTGGTCGTTATCGTGGATTCTTACTCTCTTCTTCCTTACCAATCAAGGCAACAATTTTTCGGGAATGGCATGACTCCCGTTTAATTCCATGGAAACATTTCGTCCCGATGGATAATCGTTACATGGACTTTTATGGTATCATGCAATACTTCCTTGGATATGAAGGGGATAACTTCAGAATTGAAGGTCATGATGCGGAAGCTGAGAAGATAGCATTGGCGGGTCAAGAATGGGCGAATAAAGTATTAAGGAGAGATGATATGCAGATTTATGTGTTGAGGTTATTGTTGGAGTATGCACGAGTATCAAACGATAACAGAGCAAATCTGGGATTTGTAAAGGATCTGTCTTAATTTTTTTCTTCTCTTTTCATCTTCTTATCTGGTCTTGCATCCCGGTTTTGGCACTGCAATGGCATAGGGCTATCATTTTGGCTGGGGGACAAAAATCACATAGGGGGGTATGTTTACGGGTTCGAAGTGTGCATGTTCGAAGCGGGGGGGCGAATGGTGTAAAGGAAATTGAAGACTTCTTCAGTCAGGATTTGACTGAAAAGTTGGGCGTTTTGGTATCAAATCTTTAGAGGGTTGGTTATTAGACCAAGAAGGAATGCTCTCATGGCAATAGAGAAGATTCGCAATTAGAGTCAAAGGATGATTTGGCCTGAGCAAAGAAATTTAGACATACCCATATATAGTGTCTCGATTAGCTTACCAATTCAGTATGTTGAAAGAATTTTCGCCTCACCTACCCTCACCATCATCTACCCTTCTCACCTACCCTCTTCACCTACCCTCCTCACCACTACTATACGATCACCACTCTCACCTGCCCTCACCCACATGCGTACCTTACCTATAGGTTCGGATGATAAACTATTTGATTAAGATGACGCATTATAGGAATAATGCGATTATGGTTGAAAGAGTGTTTCGTATTCCTTTCTTTCCCTAGGTGCCTAATCGTGGGTGGCCCCTCTTTAGCTTTTAATATGATGGCGCTCATACTTAATTGGGCGAACATTATTTTACGCTTCAAACTCATGATTATTGAGGTTTTTCACAAATTCTACACTGGAATGCACTGTACGCAATGCTTTTTATGTCATTCTATTAATCTAATGAAAATCTCAACAACTGGTTCGCCTATACCGGCCAAGTTACAAAAATCACTTAACCCTTCAAGATGTAAGTCGTCCATCTCTGCCACATCTCCCAAATGCTTCATAAGAGCAATCCGGGCCATCCTGCCACCACGCACAGATTCGGAGAGACTGGCTGTGCGGGTATAATATAGCGTTGCTTACTAGATGAGTGCAGTAACAAAACGGATACAAGCCCCAGGTAATCCCTTTTGTTGACAATAGTTGATGTATCCATAAACAGGTATCGCACCATTTTCTGAGAATTTTTGTTCAATGTTCCGTCCGTGTAAACGGAATTTGATACCAGTCTGTTCATTCATCCACCGAACAGACTTTCCTTCGCTTGCTGTCGAGGATTTGACCCCCCACATCAGACTTGAGCTCTGTAAGTGCCTTTCGTTTCAGTATCGGGGCTGGAGAGAGAGGTTCCGAGGATCCAGATCTCGAGGATCCAGATCTCGAGGGTTCAGGTTTCGAGGGTCCGCAAAGATCGTGGATAGCTGTTTCAATTGCCTGCAAGACCATATTGGGTTTACTAGTTGGCAACATCTTTTTCTCAATGTGGAGACTAGCATCAAAGAATTTGTAAGGATCCTCGAATTTCTGTAAGTATGTATTCGAAATCTTTGCTGTGTATTGTACGAGTTTGGTTTCTCTTCTCCCACGGGTATGCGGCAGGAATTCGTGTTCGGGAACAAAAAGAGTAACCTGTTATAACTGGATTAGCATCAATCGTTGAGAGGGAAATTTGAGAGGAAGACACCATACCTGGAGCGAGTCTGTTTCCTGCAGACCAGGTGTCTCAGATTCCCTTTTTTTATCCTTGGCTAAAGAGATTAAAATAGCAACATAAACAGGGTCAATAGCAAGCTCTTCTTTGTTTTTGATTTGCTCAGTAGCATAGGACCTAGGCTTCCATCTGTATCGCTTCCTTCGAGCAGTGTTTATCCAAGTTTGATCAGTATAAGCCCAGATCGGAGTGCCTGGATGATTGTTGAGAAAGGGAAAATCATGCCAGGCGAGTATAATAGGAGGGAAAGTGGCATATTGACAACGACTATATGCAAAAGACATTTGAGCTTCCATAGGATGTAGCTTTTGAATAATTGCAGTGGTTTTGATGTATTCTCGCATTGCGGAATCTCTACTTGAACACGGGCTGATTTTGGTTTCGAGATACCGGATTATCTTTGACAGATGTTTTCTCTTCAGTGCCTGATGTATGCTCTCGTATGCCCCAAGTTTGTCTTCCTCCACTACAGGCTCCATTATACTAGTAGATGTAACAACTTTGACATTAAGAAAGTTTAAGTGGTCAATAGTCCATTCAAGCGGATGAACAAAGAGTCGAGTGGTAGAGTTTTTGACAAGAATGGAGCGTAAGGAACCAGGGGCTGGTTGGATGTGGGCGGCGACAGCCATGATTTAAGCCTACTGGTTACAGTATTAGTATAGTTCTTGTTATTATTATTAATAAGAATGATAGCTGTTCATACCTATATCCTATGTGTATTCACGATTTGTTGCTTGTTGTCGTGGTTTACGGTATTGGTATTGGTATTGGTATTGGTATTGGTATTGGTATTGGTATTGGTTTGTTTATTGTTTATTTCCAAGTTGGAAGTTGGAATTCGCCTCTCTGTATTGTATGAGGCACGGGCCTTATGCTCTAAAGCCCGTTGACAATGCTAGGCAGAAAAGTCGTTCCCCGCAAACTATAAGTTGCAGCGGTAAGTACCGTATTATAAGACCCTCTCTTGCCCCACAGACTCTCTGGTCTTTTATTGGCCATTTATTTTACTTATTTTTGATGCTGCTTTAATAAAATTTAAATAACCGGGAACTAAAAAAGCTAAGGTTACTACTACTCTCTGGTAGTTTACTTTCTGACAGCAATTCTTGGGGTAATCCATCCTTTCAAACTGAAGATATATTTTTGATTGATATCAGTTTCCAGGTTATGATTCGACGATTCTACCCCCTCAATACGTTAAGCTCCCAACTCTGAATAGCTTCAGTCTTCAAAACAAATGTGTGTGGTGTGGTGGTACATAGGCTTGGCAAGGCGGATATAAGTGATGGGTTTAATTGGATAAATTATGATACATCTTTACTATTTATGTAGAGATACGTGTCAGGGTACAACTTTAGCCTAATTCATTACTTATTTGGCCTCAAATCATAATAGTAAGAACATTTTGTAAGACCACCTCTCATACCTTACCTACAAGAACAACCCTTTCCCCCTTTCCTATCAGTCTTAGATATCCTTCACATCCATCCTTCATCTTCATATCCATTCTTCACATTTATCCTTCACATCCATCCTTCACATCCATCCTTCATATCATCCTTCATATCATCCTTCATCTCATCCGATATCTTCAACGCAACCTGATTTTTTTCGCGTATTTGGCCAAAGCCCCAAAACCTTTTATAACAAAGACCTTAAACACAAAAGTGGGAGTTCCTGGTCTAAAAATCATCTCCAAGCATACCGTGTCCTGGTAAAAGATCATGATGGCAACATTCCGATTCTCGCGAAATATATGGATATGGCCAAAGTCCGTATAGACGCAGACCCATTCAGGCTTAAATCCCTCAAATCATACTCCCTCGAGGATGTGCAAACCTTGTCTCACCGAACCCTACGCGCTGTACCCGATTTTGGTTCGTTTTTCGTCTCTCTCGCCGATGTTACTCGTTTACCAAGTCAGGAGGTCTCTCGTCGCCTGCGTCAAGCGGGTGCCCATCAGAGGCAAGGAGACCCAAATTACGTAACTGGTGAAAATTTGGGTCTTTCTTCGCCTATAAGCGCATCCAGGGCCACCTCAGTTATTTCCTCAGTGAGTTCTTACACCTGTCAAGTTTAACCGCATTTTAAATAAGACGAAGAACAGTTTCATGGTTTCGCTTGTTGCGTCGTTCAAACTCAAGTGTAGCATTCCGGAAAACAAGAACGACGACGGCACATATCCTGAGATAGATGACCCCAGCAATCCCACTCCAGACCAGGACACCGAATGGACCATCTCGGTTGTTCCTGCGCTCGCCACCATCACGGGACTGAACACTAATATGGGACCACCTGAGCGTGTCGGTCCTGGCGTTGCCGAGCCCGCCGTATTCCAGCCTCGTGCAGAGAACGATGTTAATTCATCATTCTCACCAGACCAGCCAGCCGATTATGAAGAACAAATCGATCGGACAAAGCATGAGGCCGTATCTGCGAATATGGCTTCACAGTTCATCTCGACAATTGTTGATCTATACTCGAATGAACCGGGGGAAAATGCATTCATCACTGAATTCTTCCTTTCGCCAAATACTTTCAAGTTGGTCTCACCTCATCTCAACTGTACTTGTCAAGATGACGGCGGTCTTTGGCGTATACAGTTTGACAATAGAGCGTGGATAAATAAGAAGAGTGAACTGGTTTGCAGCCTTGAAGTCAAATCGTCTTACTCCCAAGCTGATAGCTCGGGAAATGGAGCGATATCCCATACAACTCTCGCACAACAATTTTGCGAACTTCTTGGGTCTGTAATGTCATTGGTGGTTGACGAAAAACACGAAGAACTGGATGCTGTGAAACGACGGTAAGATTTGCCAGCTAAACCTCACAAAATAGCATTCTAATTTCTTATTAGCCGATTTCTTATATCCGTTCATCAGACTGATATTACGATTGTATATTGTAATTTTTCCTCGAAGTATCTCAGATACATTTACTCCAAGGAACCATTATCAGACCCGCCGCATATCACGTTGCATCAATCATGCAAATTTGACCTCAGCGACCCCACAGGTAGAAGGGAGGCTGCTGAAGCTATTATCGCTCTTAACGAATATTTCGATGCAAATTGAGTGTTTGTTTTGCAGCAGTCTTAGAGATTGCCTTGTTGAGATGCATTGATTGTGGAGGCATTGATTGTGAGGTCATCAATTGTTCCGAGATGACTTGGTTCTCAAAGGGTTGGGTCCGCTGTAAGGAGACTATATGCCATTTGCAATGCTTTAACATCAATGTTGTGAATGAGCAGCACGCTGACAGAGAAAAATTCCATTTATAACCTGTAGCAAGGAAGCAATTAAGAGTTTGACGATACATAAACACATGAACATCCTTTACGAATGACCTGTGAACGTAGATGGCGCTGAAAGCCCACAAACCAATTAACTACTTCTAAACTCATCAAGCTTAAGCTTCAGCTCAATACATCAAACATCAAAATCCTTCCGACTGGCAGGTGAGACTGTCCCTTCCTGTGTTCAAATTTGTTACTTCGTTGCATGTGTGATGGTAGATCAATGTCCTTTATAATGTCTGCATTCAAAGTGAGGCTGGCATCTAGATACATGAATTTGACACCCAAGAAACAATAGAGTAGCGACACCGGGATATTCTGATACATTGATTGAATTCAGGATAGCAGTATACTCACACGCCCTCCAGCGCATCTTCCTCTGCACTGTCTGGGTCATGTACCATACTCCCACTCTTGACCAACAATTCAAACCTACTCGGGCGAAATGGCCACTTCATCCATGCCTCCATAATCTCCTTTAACATATCATTCGTCATCGATCTCACCGACATATGCTTCAGGCTGAACGATCCTCCTTTCGAAGGGTCTGTTAACGAAGGACACTGGTCGACTATGTATTCAAGCGCGCCAGGCCATAACCCTTCCAACGATTCGTAGACTGACTCAACGGGAGTTGCGTACATGGTGCCAATAATGAATTCGAAGATATCATAGTTCTCCGGGTAGTTTTCCCTGAGGATAGGCCAAAGAGCTTGTGGCTGGACATCCAAAAGGCACATTTGGGAGGGAGGTGTAAATTCTGCTGCATATACTTTGAGGGGCTCTGTTTCTCTTTTCTCAAATTCTGTAGGAATGCGCGCACCATCGAGCCTGACGTTATACATCTTTTGGGCAGCTATAGGAAGATTTGCAACCTTGGCATCATAAGCCTCGATCATTGCTTTTAATTTATCTCTGGAACGTTGTGTGACGGAATTGGGATTGCTTTCCGTGAGTCGGCCATGAAACTTGTTGATTTCATTGTAATCATTGATTAGATCATCGGTCAACCGGCCCTGAAAATTGATGACTTTAATCTTTGAAGTCAGAAAGAGCAAACGTTGAAATTCGTAGGTGTAGATTTTTTTCTTCGTCCCTTTAGCCACAACCACCTCTCCATCTTTCACAAATTTTTGTAGAGTTCCTTCGTCCAGCTTCCTCCGGAGCTTCGTATATTCATCCGACCAAGCTCTCTTGAAGCGATCAAAATCTTTGCCTTGTACTGCATCCCTAACTACAGGTGATTGTCTAGCTTGAATCTCCATTGACCCTTGTCTATGTTTGGGGGTTGTTATACCCATTCTATCCATATTACTGATGACATCTAGCGAATTTTTTTGGGCAACCTCAGAATCTCTTACAAATCGGTGGTTGTCCTCCGTCGAACTTGCAATTTCTCGAATATATTTTGTAGTTATTTGGGCTTCCACGGCATTTTTACGCATTTGAGCGATATTGCGGACCAACCACGTTGTTTTCTCCATATCCGGTATCCATACTAGCATCCGGATGAGACCATACTGATGGAATAATGCATGCGATCTTGCTGCGGCGAGAAGTTGATACAAGACTAGTGATGAGATGGATTCAAACCCACGAAATCTCTTTCTAGGAAAATGGCCAAGATTTGCAATCACAAGCAGGGTATTATTTGGTTCATTGATCTTGGGATCATCTGGTGAAAGTTTTACCTGATGAGGTAAAAAGGTTGGGGTTGTAACGTGTCCAAGATGTTCCCAGACAGTTCCGGGTTTTGGTATGTGCTGATAGGTAGAATCTTTTGCATCAAGAAGAGGTTGGAGGTAGGGAATATATTTCTTGGCATCAGGTTCCATGAGGAGATGTGTTCGAGGTTTCAAAACATCATGGATTTTAGATGACCATAACCCTATACCTGGATTTATGTCGATAACGTCGCAGCCAACATGCTTTAACAGCGACGGCTTCAAACGGTCCAAAATATCATCTACATTAAGTTACTAAATATCAATTCATAGCAAGGAAGGAAATCTTCTTACCACACAGTGCGTCGTTAACGATGTTTATACGTGTTCTATCCCCCATAGCTGACCCCATTTTGTGACTATCTGTAAAGAACCTTTTCAAAGTAGGATCAATTTTGATGAACTCTTTTTCATCTATCCGATCATCATTTCTTATGCGGGATTTGATGGGTTTGGGTTCTTCGGATGAACAGTTATTTTCCTCCATGCGTTCTTGGGATTCTGGATCATCTACATTTGCCTCCAACGAAGAGTTACGTTTCGCGGACTGTTGTTCCAGTTCAGCATCCAGCAACTTTGCCGCTTTAAGACGGCTCGCTGATCGCATTACTGGTTCTCCTTCCAGTTCTGAATTTAGTACTTTTGCCTTCCTCGGCCGAGCTGCTTTTTGTTTCACCGGCTCTGCTGGGGGAAAAATAGAGTCCGAAGTATTTGGGGAGGTATGTGTGATCGATTCGTCTTGTTTCTCTACAACACTTTCGGCACTCGTAGACTTCCTACGCCTAAGCTTCGCTGGTTCCACTGTCGAATCATCTTCTTCAATACCTTCCGATGTCGTAGACTTCCTACGCCTACGCTTTACTGGTTCCACCGCCGAACCATCTTCTTCAATAGCCTCTGAGGTCGCAGACTTCCTCCGACGCTTCAGTGGTTCAATTGTGAGAGTATCTTCTTCAACATCTTCCGAGGTCATAGACTTCCTACGCCTACGCTTCACTGGTTCCACCGCCGGACCATCTTCTTCAATAGCCTTCGAGGTCGCAGACTTCCTACGACGCTTCACCGGTTCAATTGCAGAAAGATCCTCTTCAACACCTTCAGAGGCCGCAGACTTCCTACGACCACGCTTCACTGGTTCAATTGCAGATATATCTTCTTCAACATCTGTCGAGGTCGCAGATTTTCTACCCCTAGTTTTCTTTGCTTTCACCAGCAACTCATCTGGTCCTTCAACGACTTTGGGGGTGACAGTCTTCCGGCGCGTTCGCTTGACTGGAATATTCTCATCCGTAGGCGTTGGAAGTTCTGAAGACTTGGAAGTTTTCGGTAGATTATAAATCGACGAGGAATGAATTTGTCGAAGGCTCGAAGGTTGTAAATTGACCCGACATCTAAGCAGATTAATTCTACCCGGGTGCAAATAAATGCGAAACATCAAAGTCTATGATACACTCGAGATGAATTGAGAGAATGGTGACCGTTAAAAATCGTACAAGATGAAAAGTGCCGTCGAATTACAGCCAGTATTACTGAATAGAGGAAGAGCAAAAAGTTTCGTGGTAGGCAAGGCTTAGTTAGTACTCGAGTAAATAAGGCTGAACAAAAAAAGGCTTAATCTATTTTATGTGGCTGGTGACAGGTTCATGCTTAAAAGTGTGGCTGATGGAAGGCTGCAAGGCTATTCTGCCATACATATCCTTTCACCGCTTTAGATCTCCTTACATTGGGGCACCTTGAGGGATCTAACCTCTAACAAAACAATAATAAATAATACCTAACAAGCACAAGTAACATCATCAGACAAGGCAGCCAATATAAATGAAAACCTATATTTATCCCTTTTCTGTTTCTTTCACCTATTTACGAATATCCATGATTTTGTTGAACAACTTTCCATTTACTTGACATTCTCTCCTCTCTACTCTCTACTCTCTACTCTCTACTCTCTCCCTCCAATTCATCCTGGACACACATCCTACAAATCATGGCGGGGTCAACGTTACAGATCTCGAAGCCCATGAGCATCAAAGAAATCTCCGCCAAAGCCTCAGACTTTGAATTTAATCCTACCATCGCACTGAAATATTGGTTAAGGACAGCCGATACACTTTTGAGGGAGGTTGGTAGAATACTCAGTTACTTTGGAGTGTTTTTCGGTAATACTAACTTCGGTAGGCGCATATTTACCAAGCAGAAGGCAATGATCAACAAGCCTACCTTTTATTCATGCGATATGCTGCTTTAGTTGCAGAAAAGCTACCAGGACATCCATCTGCGAAAGACTTGGAAACTAAAAGTGGCTTGAGGGCTGTTCAGAAAATTCTCCCAGTTGTGTTGGATGAACTAGAGGGGTTAAAACCCAAGATAAACACGCGCTACAATAACTGGCAGAGGGCTCTGGAAAGAAGGAAAGAATTTCCTGCAGCGCGAGAAAACGATATATCACGACCCTCATCTCGAGCAGATCTGGCGGCTTCTGATCCCGCGATTGCTGGAAATACAGCTACATTAGCTGCTGCGGAAAATGGCGAATTGGCCGTGAAGTTAGCACACAAAGAGATTAGAAGGAGAGATGCCGCACGACGTGCTACTCGACAAGCAGGTGTGAGTGAGGAGGAGGAGCAGGAAAGACGGACCGCCGGGCTATGGGATGATTGGGAAGCGGCCTTATCCAACTCTGGTCGTCACAATGAGGACGATAACATGCGCCGAAATATGGAAGCCACAAGGAGAAGGTTGGATGGTTCACATGATATTGTGCCGGATGGAGGGAGGAAGAGATCTGCGAAGCTCTCTACCCGACCTGCACGATATGCGCAAACAGCGGCTAGGAATGGTAGCAGCGAATACCGATATCCATCGATCTCTAAGTCTCAACCTCTCATTATTGATGACTCAAAAATATCCTCACTTCCTGGTCGTCTTCCTCCGAAGCCACCAAAGGAATCATTTGAGCCACCCCCGTACGAAAACCCTCCGCTAATACCTGAAAAACAATCCTTGGATATGCGAGAGAGCCCATCATCCGATATAGTTGATCAAGATCCAAAGTTCACTTTCCGACCCTCAGCATATCTCGAAAATGGAAAACCACTTAGAACAGTCTTTCTTCCACCGACACTGCGACAACAATTTCTGGCCTGCGCAGCCTCAAATACACGTTCGAATCTTGAAACTTGCGGAATGTTATGCGGAACCTTAATATCAAATGCTCTCTTCGTGTCTCGACTCGTTATCCCAGAACAGAAGAGTACCAGCGATACGTGTGAAACTACCAATGAGGGTGCTTTCTTTGATTACTGCGCATCTGAAGACTTAATGGTTTTAGGATGGATACATACCCATCCTACACAAAGTTGTTTCATGAGTAGTCGAGATTTACATACACATTCTGGGTATCAAATTATGATGCCTGAAAGTATTGCAATTGTTTGCGCACCGAGTAAAAGTCCTTCGTAAGTGATATTTTCTCTTATCTATATCCCATCGATGGCATGTGCTAATGAATACATAGGTGGGGAGTTTTCCGTCTAACTGACCCTCCAGGTATGCCGGCTGTTCTAAATTGTAAACAGACCGGACTTTTCCATCCTCACGAGGAAAGAAACATCTACACAGATGCTCTGCGGCCTGGCCATGTATTCGAAGCAGAAGGGTTAGAATTTCAAGTTGTTGACCAGAGACCAAATCGATAATGTCAATGATGATAATGATGCGACGAGATTAAGGTCATTGGGTTAGGTTATTTGCAGGCAGCGTTGGTGTTTTGGGCGCTACGGTTAGAGATAGATCGATCAAAAGATCTCGATTCGGCGATGAGAACTTTATATCAATCACTTCTTGCTTCTTTTTTGCATTGCATTATCTTGTGTCAGTGTACGGAGTATGGAAGCCCTCGTGCTCGTGCCCTCATTAACCTTAATGTTCCCCTGAATTTGAAGCTTGGGCTATTTTGTGTAACCGAGTCTATGATTACATAAACAATCACCTAATTAAAGGAACCCAACGACAAGACAACTGCTACATATCGTCCGTCATCAATTTCGGTGCTAACGACTGTGATTACTTCATTCGAAGTTATTTCTCTGTATACGAAATATATGCGGAGACTGGCAGTGATTGCAAGCCATGTCAGTTCACCTTGTTTATTCATCCTGACACTGGTGACAGAACTGTAGATCTACAGCGACTCCTAGTCTGGGATACATGAAGATTCTCAAACGAAAAAGTCAGCCGTCTTTCGATTGGATTTATGTGGTCTCTGTGGATCAGACGAGAAGATTGCCATGTATTGAGCTCCCCCTCACACCCCGCCTCACGTTGAATCTTCAAACTTGCTCTGTTGAAATAAATTGGACCAATGGTAAACGTGACGAGGACATCATTATATGATTCGGCTGAGCCTTATTTAATTATTTGAATAGATAGCAGATCGACCAAGTCATCGAACTAGTCAAATATACTAAACGGGTCTGGAAAGGCGTTACACGAAGGTTCGAATCAAAAGATTGAAAAGAGACGTCACAGTAATGTATCAATATCTTTAAGTTCTTTAATTGGAATTTACTCAAGCATTTGTTTCGATCTCATTGTCCTTATTCCCATTAATGATGGTCTTCGGAGAATTCTCGAGTACTTAGTCCGGCTTAGTTTCAAAATTTATGAGCCGCTCATCCTCCTCAGCATCTTGTTCGCATCTTCAGCTTTACGAATTATTTGTCAGACTCTGCGACAGTTTATCTTCACCCAGCTCTACCTCGGTATAATGCGGCATTTATGTAAGATATGCTCCTCTTTGTACGTGGAAAACTTGGTCGATGGTGAGATAACCTTACTTCGTATCCAGTCTATTCATGACTTTGTGTATGAGAATGCCGCGTACCTCAAAGCCTCGGCAAACGGGACGTCCGATGGTAGAGCCTGTCATCTATGTGCACTTTTACTCCGCAGCTTCAAAGACCATCATCGTATTGGCACAGATCTGGAAGAAAGCAATTAATTTACCAACTGGTCAGATATTTCTTGACCTACAGAAGGACAATGATATCTACGAATTGGTTGCAAGAAGTGGCGATCTTCAAGGCTCTCCTATACAGCTGTGTATAGGCGGTGGCTAGTATAGTTTATTCACCAGTAAGTGCGATTACAATAACCTGCTGATTATAGTTCGAATCTAGACAAATCGTGCAGAGGCTCTGAAGTCAGCGGTAGTGCTTGCTCAGATTAAGTTTCCTCTCAAATAAAAAGATCGTGCAATGATTGCGTCAACAAACATTCCCGATGTTCGATCGCGAAATCTTCCAATTCTTGGCTACCAAGCCGTGTCGTTGATCTTGGTCTATACTTGGTAGCTTGGGTCAATATGGCACTCTTACATATAGTTGGACGAGCTTCACGAGTAATTCTTCTAAATGAGGCACGTGAGTGTTTAGATCTGGTTCAATGACGACTTTTGCGTGTGTGTACCGGAATTCCCCCGACGCTATATAAAGACTTATTGTGCTTAGCTAGCCACTAAAACATAATCATCCTCTTCTTCCAGGTAATCTTCTGTTTTTTGATTTTCTTCAAATGGATTTTACATTAATTCAAATAATAGGTATTTACTGGGGAGCACGCGCAAGAAAGTTGAAAAAGAACAGGAACAATTCGATTTACGATTTCAAAAACATCTCCTAGGACATCAAATCAAGTAAACTATCATTGACATTGACAGTCATGGTACCTCCACCAGTGTTTTTGTTTTCATCCATTACAACAACGACGTCGATTTCGTCATTTCCGACCCCGATACTCAGCGCTAATCACGCACAATTTCCTACCAACTCCATCACAGTCAGAAATTCTGATACCGACGACCCACACAATACCCCCAAAGGCGCATCTATCAGCATGGAGGATATCTCTCCCGAAGTCATAAACCAGATACTTGCGACTCATTGCGGAAAATTTACCTGTGCTTCCAACTGCCAGTACCTGAGCGTCCCCAACGATGAACTCAATCATAAGCCTGATCCTGTGGCGGCAGCAGAGGAAGCACGATACTTTTGGTTTTATTTCTGCCTCATTTTCTGATTTATTGTGGTAGTTCCGTTTTTGTGCTACTGTGAGCATGGACGTCAGAAGGAACTCGAAGAAAAAGAGGAGGAAGAGATTCGGATGCGCGAGGAAGGATATGTGAGGGATGCAGAAAGGCGGTACTGGAAAAATATTTAGACACAGCATCGTCTATCGTCTCTACACACAAGATGTAGACTGCGATCTAGTCTACCCCATTCGTCGATATGGACGACTATACCCAAATAGGCCCTTCAGTTGAATGGGACGTAGGACGTATACGCAAAATTCGAAGTTTTTGTTATTATTTTTTGATATTTTTTGATATTTTCATTATCTCTTTTATTATTTTACTATTCATTATCTTATTATTTCATTATTTATAATATTATTCCACTTCGTTGTCGCCTCCAATATTGATTCACAGTGATATCGATGAATGAGACTATCCCATTTGTCAATATTAAATATCAAACTTTGCGCATACATCCTATTCAACCGATGGGACGGCCTATTCGGGTAAGAGTTCCCTCCCATCGATATCGACGAATGGGGTAGTCCCATTGATAGATTGGACGCATCGACGAATGGGGTAGACCAGATCATATACGCGGACTTTCGATTTCCACGCGTTGTCTTCGGAAATTTCGTTTAGGAGACCATATCCAAGAGCCAATCCATCTTATGCTTTGGGAGTTTCCTCAGATATGTAAAAGTGCTTTGGCAGAGAGGGAAATCCCTGAAAAAAGTGCCGGTATGCTGGTAATTAATTGGTTTCTTAGTATCGTTGGTACCGCGTTCATCACTAGCCAGCTACAACGAAATTTATGCCACTACATGATCATAATTCGGCGTTATACATACAGTTTTTGGCAAGTTCGACATTGGGCTGACTCATTACAACCCCTTTTCTGTCAATCTCTGTCATCTATTAAGTCACGCTTTACGTATTTCAAAGCTGGCTCATTCACAACAAGTTCCAAATTTTACCAAGAAGGCAAAAGTGGTTCGAAAGTCTTGGTTGACCATGCCCACGTTTGTGTATCTTGCTTCCCTACTACCGCTGACAATTTCCATTCCAACAACATCGCATCCTCAACCACCAAAACTCTCGCGTTGTCCTTCAACTCACAAGTTCCACCTAGCACAGCAAACAAACCCCAAAAATGAGCACTTCAACTTCAAGCAAAGAAAAATTAATCGACGTCTCCTCCACAAAACCCGACTTTCCCGTCAAAAAACCCAATATAAATTTCCACTGTCTAGTCTGTGGGATCGACAACGAAGATGTTCGAGATATACCGATGAGACAATGCAAGAACTATGGGAATTGAAGAGTGGTGGTGATGGTGATGGTGCATGGAAGGTTACGAGACGCAGTTTGTATACGCGGTTGCATCGTGAGGGGGGTCGTTGTGGATTTATTGAGTATTAGGGTTGGGTTACTCGAATATATGAATGGGGAATTTGTGAGGGATCGGGAGTATGGGGTTGACAGTTGGCTACTTGAGCCCTGGGGGAAGATCGAGAGGAGGAATCATTGTGCTGGCCGTAATCTAGGGTAGATGTGATATTGTATCTGCTTCAACAATTCCTGGTCTAATCTGCACTTGTGATGAGTAAACAATTGGCTGGATAGAAGTGATTTATGAATGTTGGTTTCATGAGATAATATCTGCGGTAAGTTACTCGCTGCCGTATAGAGCTCGGATTATTTGAGGCTCCTGAAATTCACTGCAGAGATCACATTCAAAGACATAGAAGCCACTCTTCGATTCCATACAGATGATAAAAGCCATTCATATAAACATCCATATAGATACAATCATTCACATCATATGGATGAAATCTCCAAACTTCGATACCAAAGATTCTAATTAAAAACCTACCACCTTCTCTCCCTCCTTTCCTCCCCACCTCCCTCCACCATCATTGTCTCATTGTCTCTACAACAACCCAACAATACCACAATACCACAATACCACAATAACACAACACCACCAACCACTCTCTCTGCATAAAGAAAGTACCGATACAACAAACTCTCAATATGGGATCCTCCGCCTCCCACTCAAAATTCAAACCCCCCTCCACAACTATCTGGCGCTGCACATGCGGAACGTCGAACCGATGCTACGTCGGTACCGCTACTCGAAAATGCCAGAAAGGAAATTGTCAGTTTGTGTACTGGGTTTGGGATCAGATTACTGGCGAGTGGAAGCATGATTATTATGGTGGGAAGAGGTCTTATTATGAGCCGTGGCAGAGGAATTCGGATGTGGATTAGAAATTTAGGGGGGTGGAATGGGGCGAGGGAAGAGGTGAAGAGGTGATTCTTGACGTTGATCGGATGAGGAGATGAGGAGATGAGATGTTCGTTGGGAGTTGAGGGATTTGAGTTATCGGGTACAGTAATGGGTTTGGTTCTATTCAATGAAGGTAAAATCAAGCAAATTCACAGTTTTCTTCACAGGCGCAATGAAAGGAATGAGAGAAAACTTCGGCTTATCTGTTGTGGTATGCCAGTACAGTATGATGGATAGATATATGGACACCCATAGATTTGCAACTTCAAACCTCAACTTTAAACCTATAATTACACTATAGTAGCTATAAATTCCACACAAAACTACTACTCAGTAGGTACCTAAGCATAAACCCTTTTAAAATGATCATAATTAATACTCAAGTATACAGTAGATTGAAGTAAAAAGCCAAGCCAACCCAACCCAGCTCAACTCAAACCGTGAGTACCCAGAGGCATCTACCTACCTACCTACCTACCTACCTGCATCACCATCATCACCCGTTGAATACACTGTGTTTAGCCCTCGCACCTTCGCAAACTACCAAGGTAAGTAACGTGACAACATACATACACAAGTAAATCATGAACATCAAAACCCTTCCCTTCCGTTCCCTTCCTTCCTCTACTTTCATCTCAATTGCAGAAACACGCATACTGCGTCAACCACTCACTTCTTTCTCAATTTCGCCAAAAAGCACTCTACTTCACTCTATCGATCTCTGAATTATCTTTGAAGATATCGAGAGGTGTAGGTATTCTTATATTGATTTCCGATTTGTCCACCATTTGTTGCTGCTTCTTTCCCTGCTTCATTCCCTCTTTCCTCTTGAGTCTGCTGATCTGCTTCCTTCCCTTTTTAGTCAACTCAACCACAATACTACTAGCTCCAATCTCAATCTCATCCTTTCGTTTTCATTTCGACTCATTCAACCATCCATCAACCATCAATCATCATCATCAAAAATCCGTCAACTCGAACTTGAGTCTGCTTCAGCTTTTCATTTCCTTTGATCCTTTCATACTTTATCAAAGTTCCTCAACTCGATCATATTCCGATCTCAGTTTACGTTTTCCCTCAACTCTCCAACAATCATTATCAAGATTCGTCAACAGGACTATCATACAATTTCAGTTTTGTTTTCCCTAAACCCTTCCGCAACCATCATCAAGATTCGTCTACTCGACCATGATTCAACCTCTGCTCTTGTTTGCCTTTCCTCCTTCCAACTCTCATCAAGATTCGTCAACATGTCCGGTATGTACTGTTATTTTTTTTATCCAAGTGTCGCTTATAGAGTATTTCAGTACAGAATATCATTATGGGTTTCAGCATTCATATATGAAGATACTGACAATTTCCTTTCTATCCTATATTAACAATCCCGCGCTTTCTCAGGAAGAGAACGAGAAAATTGAGTAGTAAGATTCCTTTATTACATTACTATATTGTATCAATTCTTTAAATCACAGCTAATATATTATATTCACAGGCTGCTACTTGAGATAGCAAGGTATGTTTCCTCAATATTTTGACATCTGTGCATTTATGACTAACATTGATTTCTCAGAATGGGAGGCTCTGTAAGCTAATTCCTTAAGAGATTGAGATCTATTCTTATTCATACATATATAGGGGGAGGAATGAAGGGGAAACATGGGGCTGGTGGGCTTTGGAGAACTCTTTGCCGAGAGATTCTAAAGCAGTAGGTCTTGATCATTCTATTTTCCTATTTTCTGACTAATCCGAGATTATCTAGTTATGTCCCGTTTGCACTGGGTACAACAGCAGTTTGGTACGCCTATAAGGCGTATCTTGAAACCGAGAAAGCGAATGCAATTTCGGGGGGAAGTCGAAACTAGCAAGACTAAAGGGAACCATAATAATGTAGCCCTCAATTATTACCAGCAGCCCGAGGTCGATACTAGTAAATCATCCATCCATCAAATCAATCAAGTGACTGAATGACAGAACCCCCACCAGCCCATGTTTGACTTGCCCGTCTTCGACCCAGCGTTTCCCTTTTCCTTTCCATTTCCCATTCCCTTTTCACCAACATCATCAACAACAATCTGATCCTTCTCCCGATCCTTGGTAGGAGCCTCTACAGCCACAGTCATACCTCCAGGCTCATGACATATACTCATTGTATAGTTACAGTACTTGCACGATCGAACCGCTGATACGGAGCCGTATTGGGAGGTTTTGCATGAGAGACAGTACCAAGTATTTGTTGCCCCCATTGATGTAGAGGGTTTAATGTGTATTTAGTACGTGAGTTCTTGCGTTAGTTGTGTACTTGTTGTGTTTTGTTGAGCTTGTTTCGTTCGTGTGTGTGATGTTTTTGGCTTCGATGTGTTGTTTGAGGTTGAGGGGTGGTTTGTATTTGTATTGTATTGTGGATGTTCTTATGTTGAGATCCGAAAGGAGCTTGGGGAGATTTTTCCAAGGAAGGTTGCTTAAATAGTTATAGTTGCAGCGGTGGTGGTGGAAGTTCATCTGCTGGAGAGCAAGAGCAAGAGCAAGAGCAAGAGCATTCAGGAAGTGTGATTCGAAGTAGAGCACCTTGTTGGAGTGGAAAATGAGCTGCTCTGGGACATTCAGAGTGTTATATCTTGCCAGGAACACCTTGTTTGCGTGTTAAACTATGGCTTGAATGTACATGTACTCGACGAGATGGACTTGACAGCTACTTGTACAAATTTGAATGTTCTTTTCGATATCCATCAAGGTGAAAAGTGATATGTCGGCCTTCTGTATCAGTATCATAAGATTCACTTCCCTGTTCCTTCGCGGTGATTGGTATAGAAGAGCAAGCTTCTTGAGAAGTTGAACGAAAGGTTCAGGAAAAGTCGTGTAGAAGACTATCAAATCAGTATCTTTGATTCACTGAAAGTTTCTCATTAAGTGCCGGGAGATAATCATGATGAGGTCTGTCCAGAGATGACAATATACTTATTATCTAGGTATGGTTTCACAGGTCCGAACAATGAAGAAAGTCACAGTGTGGGAATGGCTTGCCATTCAGAAACTTTTCGAGACTGGTGTTTCTCTCAATGATTGTCTTCCTCTTCCGTTCACGACCACAGTACGAACTTTGAGGTAGATCAGGGGTTTTGAAATACGTATTCGCGACGTACCAAACTGCCTAAGTTTCCCACAAAGATGACATAGCTCACAGGAGTTTCAAACTCAGGAACAACATTTTTCATATATACCTCATCCTAGGCAACCCCGAATAAAGATCTTCATCTTATACTCCTCCGAAGCCTTCCGTCTTGTCGCCAATCGTCCTTTTTCCCTTCTTAAGCGCCGTCTCCCACCAGCTCGCACTCCTCGTCAAGCTAGGCCTCGGACCTGTCTTAGCTGTAATGGTATCGATTGAAGAGATTGAGGTATATTTTGGTCTTGATGGAGGTGTGTGCGATTTTATGGGTATCGTGACGGGATGCTCTAGGATTGGTTTCATGGTCAGTGATAAGGGTGTGGTTGATGGCGAGAAGGGAGACTTTGGTGGGGAGGGTCGACCCGGGTCAGAGGCAAGTTCTTTGCGGGCTGCAAGTGATTGGGCGGTGGAGATTGAATATGAGTGTGGAAGAGACTTTGGTCTATCGTTGGCAATTGTTATTGGGTTTCCGCTTGTACTAGGGTTAGGTTGTGCGGAATCTTGAGATCGTTAGCGGTCTATTATCCTTCTTTGCTTGTCCTTGAGAATATACATACCTCCAACTAATGATGAAATCTTGTTGATCGATGAGGATGAAGACGAAGAGTGAATACCCTGTTGCCCAAATCGCCCCAGAAATCTATACCACCTGACTCTCCAAAACTGCATCCCACTTGTCGTATTCAACGCCCCAACCAAAACGAAGAATGGGACGCAAATAGTTGCCAATGTTATACCAAAAGGAGTAAGGTCCTGATCAGTCGTCATGTTCGTCATACCGTAAACAGAGGTCACAAACGTGAGGGGAAGGAAGAATATCGAAACCATAGTCAGGAGTTTGATATTGTGACCCTGTAATATTGTCACTGCCGCCATCTCCACGCTCTTCCTACTTTCCAAAACACTGGTACCCGAGAAAAGTTGATCCCTCAATGTTCTGATTTCCTTCATCTTCTGGTCGGTTTCTTCGTAAAGTTTGTATAGATTGACCATCTGTTTATCGAAATCTAGTTTTAGTTTTTGCATTCGTTTTTGCCAGTATTTATTTCGATGAGAGTCCGGATCTAACATGGGCCACAGCGTTTTATGATTTCCCTCCCAAACATCTTCCGTAAATGTGTCTTCGTAGCTATCCATTATGGCCTTTAGTCCATTTTTCAAGAGGCCGAGGGTTTGATAGGCCCAGAAATAGCGGCGGGAGTAAGTAAATTCTTCATCTTCGAATAGCAATTTATCTCTGATTTCGCCATCGAACATGAAGTTGGCCTGAGGAATTTTTCAGTAAGCCATCGATAGTCGACTAATGATTGAAATCTAACTTACGGGTGGTGACACAAGCTTGCTAATCTTCATATATATTGCCTCGAATCTCTTTTCTGCATCCTTGAACTCTGAAAGAAGAGTATGAAGGAATGCTTCAGGTCCGTTGACGTAATGCTTTGTGGAATCGTGAACATCCATGGTATGGCGATGGTCAGGGTAACATTGTATATTGAGAACATGCCATGCTGCCCATGGATCATAAACATACCCGTAGTCTGTCCTAGCACGCCTAGCAGGGTTCCTCAATTTCCGGACCGGATCACCGGATAACGAGAGAGCCACCACGGAATTGCATCTTGATATGGGAATATGATCTTTTGAAGTACTCGGAGTTTTATCAGCCAGCTGCCAAGGCATTGGCTGACACTCTTCTCCCACGATTGTCCAGTATTCGAAGTTAAAAACAAAGGACTTCTGTTGGCGGCTATCGGCCGAGAACGGTCGCCGCATGATGTTGGTCTGCATTATAAGCAAATGAAGAAATTTGATGAAGCTTGAGCACATACAGATGTTACTTCGTCAGAGGTTAGATGATTGAATAATTCATCCATGTCGAAAGTCTCATTCAAGGTAAGATGCAAGGCTCCAAATATAACAGGAGATGGCTCTCGAACAATTCTTTATGTATGTATGTTAGTCGGTTGATAAAAACCCATTATAGGGAATGGTAAAGAGACTTACGTGATCCGGCCAACAGCTTGTCGATGTGATTCGGGGTCGCTATTCAAATCCTTCACTCAAAATCTTAGTTGCGATGATGATACTATGGTAGATGACTTCGCTCACCTTAACCGCTTGCCATATAGCAGAATCGATCTTGGTGGTACCTGGTTTAACAACATCTCGTCTCGACAGAGGAGCTCCATCCTTTCCCACATCAAACACCGAATAATGGGAGTTATGAGATCGATCAGCTCTATGATATTCCGGAAATAGGACAGGATCTAGAAGTCGTCCATTCTTTGTGATCACGGTTTGTAGTATTACATGTCCAGCGTCCGTGAAATTGTAAGTTCTGAAATGCTGTCGTAATTGTTCTGCGCCATATTGAAATGACTTGAGCGGCGTTTGAACATATAGCTCACCATCATCATCGCTATCATCACTGTCTCCCGACAAGACAGAGCTGTGAAGTGTCGAGGGACGTATTGCTGGGATATCACCTTCGTCTTTCGTAGATCTTCTTCGTGGTTTTGTAAATGTTCGGATCGAACCAGTGTTTTGTGGTGCACTGACAGTTGTACTCTTATTTGTGAAACTGTTACTTAAAGCATCATGAACCAGCTTAAATGTCTCGAGGTAAGCTTGATGTTGATCGTCGAGTCGCTTCAATAGTTCTTCAGTGCCAATATTCGACATTTCTTGGGGGGACCGTTTGTTGTGATTGTGTAAGAGAATACGAGGAAATGAAGAGATATGGCTGGACCCGACAAATTTCATACCCCAACCCTTGCCATTGACCCATTGAGTGCTTACCTGTAGAGCCGCAAAGCTTCGCCTTCAGACGAGCTGTTACATGGCCCACACATTGAATCCTGATATCTCATTGGATCGGGGAGGTGTGTGGGCATCTGTCTGTATAGCAGTGTACGCATCTCTGGATACGTTTCTTTGCATCTTGAGCAATCGCAGTCTCCAAATTCAAGAGTGGCGGTGAATTTCTTATCGATACAACAAGGGTTGTGAAGATCAAAGTGCTCGTTAAAGAAAGTGACAGCGCAGAACCTCTGCCAAGACCTGCTGGGGTTTGCGCACGTGGTCGCCCGAAGATGCCACCCATCGGCATTACTTCGGCTAGACCGGCTCGGTTGGTTTACCCCGTGTTCGGCATCTCCTTTTCTATGCTCAATAGTCCTTTATTGATGGATTTACACGACCAGCAGATGTATTGATTACAGTATCAAAACTCTTGCTAGACATTCCCCGCCTTCGCTTGAATAAATAGACGACCACGGTCACCTCAATCGTGTCATGAGAGGATAAGTACTCTGTGGCGCTTCATCCCTCGGAATTTCCAAAAGAACATACCAATCGCTGAAACTGGAACCTGGTGTAATAGATTCATCGTACCAAGAGCCGTTGTTACCATAGGCGTTGATTTTTGTATTAGGCCGGTTCACGAGATCCGTTACAAACTTTATTAATGATATTGAGCATAATTCTCAAACTCCCAAACGGGCACGGTGGCTAGAGGTTATCGAGTGCGAAGTGAGGTGAAGACGATGCATTGGATAGTGATGCCGAAGGAAAACCTGCAGTTGGTTTATTTTGAGCAGCCATCGCTTCGTCTCGTAATTTCCGGATGATATCTTTGTTCGCCTTTTGTAGGTTCTTGAAAGCAAAATTTCTACCATCCTCTGATCCGATGGCGGCACTTAGTCGGCGCATTTTTATGTCTCTGGGGTGGGGTGGACTATACAACGGTATTGAGTCGTTGTCCATACTGCGATTGAATTGATCGCCGGCTCCAGAGAAATTATCATCGGGCCGTTGATAGAAGCCGTCACCAGGAGTAGGGTACTGAACAAATGTTTGATCCACCAGACTTATTCCTTTAGATGCGATAGGCAATGCCTCATCCTCAAACAGTAGCTGTAAGTATTCTCCCGAACTTATCAATCCAAATGACTGCCATTGGGCTTGTCGCACCGATAAATTGGCGGCTTCATAATCTTTGATCTCAGATGCCTCTGATTATTCATGAGGCGTAGGCCAATCACGCATTAATGGATCATAGTCTCCAGAACTAGCGATAAATAACCGCACTGCAAGGTAAAGGTACTGGTTTATACATGAACTCGTCAAAAGAGGGGGTTCCTTGAGCTTCGCTATCAGAAAGCGTGAATGAAGAGCCGGATATGCGCCTCGATATATTTGGCCGTGCGACCTGTGTCAAAGATGTGATTTGATGTAGTTTTGTCTGATGGCGTAGTAAAAGGTCTCGACGCGCAAAGACCTTGTACACTCAAGGCAGTTCTAAGATCTTTCTTTCGTATGAGACCTCTCATACCGTTTGAGATGCTCCAGACGGATAAAGGACCTTTGGCAGGTGTCGCGAATATGTAGCCGATATTTCTGCGGCACAGGAGCGTGAGCAGGAATAGGCAAACTGCTGTTCGAGTCGACATCGGGTATGCTTGGACTAATAGGGACAGGCTCTTTACTAACGAGCATGTTCCAATCGATGTCATGTTCAGGTTGCAATAACGTTTCACCGTCAGGTGGCATAGAGTTGTTTAATCTTTCGCTCATTCATGACTCCGGAGTCCGGGGCCAAAGATATCGAGTTCTTAATTTACATATACCTTCTAATATTCTCTCGGACCGGATAAGTCTATTGTATATGTCAAGCTGCGATGATTGATCATTTAAGATAAAGGCTCAGAAGCTCGATCAGTAACAATATTGCGGAAAACTTTCGCACAAACTTGTTGATTTTCATATTCCATATTCCGGCTATGAGCAAGTGATTGAACTGAAAACTTTGCTGTGTACGATCAAGATTGTTGAATATAAGTTCTCGTCTTGTGATATCTTTCTCAAACTCAATGATTTGTCTAAAAAATTCGAGTTCACATGGAACATTCACATATGTATTGCTTAGCACGCAGAAATTTGATGTTCAAAATTGTTTAAATCTGTACGGGGGTGTGCTTACTTGTGCTTACTAGGCATCTGTATATCAGGTGAAGAATCCATGACCAGTTAAGGTATAGGCAGATTGGATCTTAGAAAATGCAGGAGCTATTGGGGTTTAATGGTTAGCAAGTGTTAGGCTGCCCGCTCCGCGATTTCAGTCCAACCAAAGAGTACCAACGATTTACAGGGTTTGAATGTCTCACAAATTTGAAGATTGGAAGGAGGCTGGGAGAGCTACTGTAACCTTGGCCTTGGTTCATGCAAGGTTCCCGAGATCGATCCGTCGCAGATTCACGGCGCTTAATCATTCATAGCCTTCATTGGAATAATGTACGGCCTCTAGCCGTGCAGTTGGGAATTGAAAAATTGCAAGTCGGTGGCCCCTTGAAGCCTGATCAAAAAAAAAACACGGTATACTTATCAGACGGTCAGACCCGTAGTAACTTAGTAAGAAGTGCACTTGTAAGGACGGAGAACCAATGTAAATATCTGAACTCTGAGTAGGCGGGCGTGAAGGTCGTGACGAAGCGTTGGGAGTGATCCCGCGATTGCCTCGCTACCGACCAATTACCCAACTAACTACTCGAGTACCTCTTCAACTCTTCAACAATCAGTTTAGAGATTCATTCCACAGGGGTTTCCCAATTGCCTTGCTACCGAGATTCTTAACAAACAATTTACAGGGCTTTCTCGCTACTGACCAATTACTGACCAATTACTTTTTTCAACAATCAATCTGAATCCCCGAAAGCAATTCCTGTCGAGTAAAAAGAGTAAATTGTTTATTGGTCAAATCATCGATTCTACCACTTGTATCCGACTTATGGCTTGTACACACTTATAGATCTATTAGGCTCTTATGCTACCTAGGTATATCCCTTCAGGGCATCTCAAGACCTTGCGCGCGCAATACAGGCATGGAGTTGGGTTTATGCGGATGTATGCCCTCTCCATCCATCAGCCCTCTCTAGCCACACCTACAGATCTGCGTATGCATATGACTCTACCTTTCGATTCGTTCAACGCAGGCCTCAGTATTGCTGACGGCGAATATGGTGGCTCTGCATGCCAGATGCAGAGCCATACTCATAAAAGTTTCATGAGACAACCATCTCTGTTGCGCAACCAACGTGTGCGATGTTTCAGATGACCACTGATGGACGACCATTTGAAAAGAATGTCCTGCACAGTCTGACCTGCAGCGGGCGTTGTAAGTTGGACCAAGCGTCGAGGACCATTATTTGCTCTTGCATATACTACTTACTGGACTTATCGCATTGCCTGGCGCTCATCTCATAAACCTGGTTCAGATAAATACATCCTCGATTCCATGAGTGAAGACAGATAAAGTTCAAGAGTTCTGCCTTTTAGCTACGTATTATATTGATTCATCCTTCTTAACATCGCACGCTTGCCTGTGCCATCCTCAACTTCTTAATGTCTAATTCTCTTCCATTCCCTCCTCTTGCATTTATCGCGGATCCAAATAGCCAGGACAGACTAGCTTTTGACGATATGAACTTCAGCTCGCCCACTTCCACTCCAATCTACAATGGGCACTTAATTGACGAGAGTCAGGGGACTCCCTCTAACATGAACCTAAACGTACCTTCTTTCAATCCCACATTTTTCCCCAACGGGAACAACAACATGGCTTCTTTCGATCCCACGCTTCTTCTCAACTGGAACAACATGCCTTCTTTTAATTCCAATATCGACCTCCAGAACTTACCTACCTATCCATATACATTCTATAACGAAATCGACAATTATCTCATGGAGTTTGAGCTTGATTTCCAGGCTCCCAGTATGGATACGATGTCTCTCGAGTCTCCAACCCCCGAGACATGCTTATGCGACAAAACCACTACTGGAAAGTCACACATCAAAACCACCGTCAAGTTGAGACACCAACAGCCTCCAAAACAAACCAAGCCTCACGGCGCCGGTAGCCGCATCCAATGTCCCACTTCAAACTGCCCCTCGACCTTCGCCCGCCGAGCCGATCTGATCCGTCATCAGCGATCTCTTCATTGCCCAAAGACTCCATGCATACATTCATTAAGGGGTTGTCCATATGCAACCGGGCGACCCGATAAAATGAAGGAGCATGTTAGGAAGAAACATCATTCTAGAACTTAGGTGGCGTGTGAAGGTGAGTTTGAGTTCCTGATCTTTCTTGACACGTGATCAGTTGGCTAATCTTTCATCTAGGTTCAATTGATGCTAAACAGGGCAAGTGCGAAAGCCCATTGCAAGATGTGATTATTCCGGAAATTCAGGACAAATGGTCACCAGAGATATGTGACTTGAGCGATCTTGCGTGGGATTATGCGGATTTTGGAGTGGAGAGCTTGGATATGATTTTATGAACGCGTGTTTCCGGTAGAACCCTGGAGGAAGCCTGGAAGAAAGCAATTGTTTTTTAGATACCTCTTAGGCGCGAGAAATGTTAATTAGAGAGCTGAATGGGTACGGGGTATGAGAAATATAACTTATATTACCAGAATAACCTCATGGTCCACCAAGAGAGTAATGGCATTCGCAATCCTTCTTGAAATGACGAGAATCTGTTACAGATCAGGATAATTTAAAATGAATGAAGAATCAGCAGTAAGCCATCCTTGTGCTTCCAATCACTCTTCCAATCCCCTTCCACAAGCCTCGTCCCCATCACCCGTCCCACCCGAAAAGAGGAAACAAACTTTCGTGCTACCTCATCACTGTCCCTCTCCACATACAAACATAAAAAAGAACCATACCAAGGAAGATACTATAATCCTCACCCCAAACAATCTAGAATCTAGATTCTAGATTACACAAGCAGTATTCAGAAACGCCATTACTGCGCCATCACCAATTTACTGTTTAGAAAGTCTTGTTTCGGTATATACATTCTCCGTGTATACGAGATGGGTTATGAAAAAGAGAGTGTGGTATAGTGGGGGAACGAGGGTAAATAAAAAAGCATGACTTGGAGTTTGGGAAGGATAAGATACGACTATCTATTTATGCAGGATTGTGCATTAGTCGTGAGTATTCATTCATATAGATGGAGTATACTTACATGAAGTTTTGACTGTAAACTTTCTTTCGAAGACGAGGGTTGTTGAATTGACTAAAACAGACTGGCACTGGCAGGAGCTTCATCTACATCGTACGATACGATGCGCAAGCATGCTATGAGGACCACCTAGATATAATAATAACATGACACACAGCAAGAAAATCTGAATGGGCGCAAACTGATATGAAAAATGCAATGCTGTATAGATTGATACTTAACAAGCAATACGATTAGAGAATGGAAAAACGCTGTAACTTGGGCATCTGCCTGAATATGCATTCTGGAAGCCTTTGACGCAAAAAAAGGATGACTAGATCTGATTGCTACAGAAAGATCCTCATTTCTTTCCCTTCTTTCCTCTAGCTGCAGGTCCCATAGCGGCTTCTCTTCGTCTCTGTTCCCGCGCCATTTGCTCTGACTTTGCGTCGTCATGTTCCTTGCGCTCTTCTTCTTCAGCCTGCGCAAAGTTAGCATGATTTCACTATGTAAAATAATCTGGATACAACTTACAGCCTTGCGTTCTGCTGCTACACGCCTGTCTTCTCTGACCTTTGCCAATCTTGCAAGATCAGATTGAGCCTCATCAGTCTTTCCGGCAAGATGTAACCTCTGATATGCTTCTTTCCTCTTTTGTGCCTCCATTGCCTCTCTCTCCTTGCGAGTCAATTCTTGAGGCTTCTTGCTGACGCTCATCTTTGCAACATCTCCTGCGACTTCATCTACAGTCATTGGTGGGGCCTTTGCTTGGTTTCTGGCAGCCTTGCTATGGTTAGGATTGGCGGGCATGTCATCATCCTCACTCTCCTCTTCGCTATCAGTTGGGAGATCTCCAACTTGTGCGACCTTTTGGTTCTTCTTTTTGATTGCAGCATCTTTCTTGGCCTTGGCAGCTGCGCGACGTTGTTCACGGGTCATTTCTGCTTTCTCCTCTTCCTCGTCCTCAGAGGATTCCTCAGAGGAGGAATCTTCTTCTTCTGAGGATGAATCATTGGCATTCTTTTCGCGGATTTCGTTTCCGTCGGCATCGAGAGGTCGGAGATCACGAGAGAAGTGCTTACCACCTGTTGGAAAGTTATATCAGTATATTTGCCATAATCGTTGAGAGTAGGGTCTTCTTACCTCCACGAGTGAACTTCTTAAACTTTCCACCTCTGCCACGTCCGGCTGCTGGTCCTCCTGGTGCCATTTTGTTAAGATAATCGAGATAACCAAAAGATAATTGTCTGATTCAAAGGTATTTGCGTACAGGTTTCGTACGATATTAAGGACGAGGCGATTTTTATTTTTGTGATGTCAGGAAAAAGGATGTAGCTGATTGTACCTTTAATCCATTCAGAAGATATCGATTGTCAATTTCATACCCCGCCGTAGCGCTAGCTCATTGTCGCTTAGTAAGCCAGGATCCGTTGAATCTCATTGGCCTCCAGACATTTCTTACTTCTTTCTAAGTATCTTGAATTCAATATGAAGTGGCCTTGTGCTCTTCAGCCATGTGATAAAGCAGCTCCATACATGTTCTAGGACGTCTATATTTATCAACTGAAGGAGAAGCGGAGGTTGGGCCAGCATTTCTCGATCATAACACTTAAGGGGAAGCCCTTCCTTTGGGTCCCTTTGAGGATTAAAATGCATATTACAAAGCGTTGATCCAGCACCAGCTACAACTCACGAGAACTAGGGAATGGGCAACCTCTGCGCATCTCGATGCATACTTAGTTTATTTGACGCTTTTAGACAGTCTCCCACACAGCGAAACTGTACCATTCCACCTGTGCCATGTAGAAAATAGGTGTGATAATTACCTATCTGACGAGGATTGTAATATTACAGGAATCATAGACTAGGAGTGGGCTATTGTGACTTCTAGGAGTGCAGCATGGTAATATAGTTGAGTTATGTAGCGGAGAGATCGAGCCACGAAGCAGAAGTTGGTCCATCAAGATAGCGAGTTGAATGGTATGAAGCAGTTATTAATGACGGAACCTTATGAAAATGGAGTGCGAATTGAACTTTGTGTGTGGTGTAGGCCTCTCTTATTTGCTCATAGGGATTTGGAGAAGACATCTTATACAGCTTGCCAGTAGTCTGCTCGCCCAATGAGAATGTGGACATCATATACGGCACGGTGATTCGCCGACTGATCGATGACTAACGCCTACTAGGCACAAAAGTCGCTTAGATCACATGATTGAGAGAAATTTTCGAGTACAAGAGAAATTCAACTCAATTCCCAATTACTCTTCTTCTTTTTCTCTTCAAAACTAAAACATTCCTCAATATTCACTCTGGTCTTTTGTCTTTCAATGGCGGGATCTTGGAGGGGAAATTGAAGGATAGAAGAGAACTTTCCGTTTACTTACCCTCCATCCTATGGCATGAGAATGCGTTGGGTCATGGAGAAATATAAAAAACGGGACATTTACATCCAATTATTATTATTCCTTTATTGTTTTCAAAAGTCATTGGCCAATGGCTTTGTGTTAGTCTGGCGACTTGTTCTGCGATTTGAGAGCGATGAAATTCGTTGCGTTGGGTGGTTGCAATACATTTGCTTTCATCCACCCGGAACGGACAAAGAATGTTTGCAGCAGGCACTTGCAAAATCTTCAACCTTGACTGCCAGATCCAGTTCTATAACTGCGATTGATCTCTTTGTTCATGCAAGGTAAAGAAGGTAACAGTTAACTGTCGAGAGAATTCATTTCAATCTTTCAATCATGACTGTTTGCTATACATCTTGATCACTCAATTATGGTCGCTGTCGAGCTTATTTTCTTTGAGACTTATCTGCAAAACATTATGTCCGCGTGTCCAGCCTGCGACCATCCTCTAATACTGCCTCCTGACTTCGCATACATCGCTCTCAAATTTCCTCGCATCAGAGCCTCCCTCGATTGTGATCGCACATTACCTCGCTGCAAAGATTGCGATCAAGCAGCAGCGGAGAAACGAGCCGCTGATGCAATCCTTCCACCACCATATTATACCAATCCAGTTGCGCAGATCAAAAAACAAATCGACTTGACACAAGAATTGATCAAGGCAGGAGTGCGGCGAGAAGAATTGGGAATGGAGCTTCCCGCTTTGAGGAGAGAAGGTGTATTAAGGTTGCAGAAAAGAGTTGCAAATATACGAAGCGCTTGGCATGAATATTGGGAGATCTGGGGATGGGACCAAGGGCAACCTCGACCATGAATAAAGATACACAAGGCACGCCAGGGTCTAAATTTATATCATGATTGAATGGAGGTTTAATATATGTTTGTGAAAAGCTCCATTATGTCGTTGGTGGCTTGGACCTAGGAAATCAACGTCTGTACATTAGCTCGAGTTAGTTGCATTTATATTGGATAAGGGACAATCAAACAAATGATAGCGGGATACCAAACATTTCAAACATTTTGAAGATTTACATTTGGTGATTGATTGATTTATGTTTCAATTTGCAACAAACCCCTATTACTATTATTCATAGCCAAGATATACCAGCAAATACCACGTAGGTTCCTTCATATGACTCAAATAAAGTGATTTCCGTGGTTCAACTAATCCATCCTCCTGGTCAACCAACAATCACCAAACCAAATAACACGAACAATATTTACAACTCCACATCTGTCAAAATAAAATGGCAGGCTTTCTGCGTGGAAAACAAGCAGGTATTCAAAATGATCTTTCCGCGGGTATCCTGCCAGGTTTATTTGCGCCGGATGACCTGGATCGTTTCGGCATCAATTCTCAAGTAGGGTATGTTTGGATCTGCCATCTTTAAAACATCAAGGGATCCAACTAACTTCTGCGCCCTTTAGATCTCTCGCATTTGATCCAGTACAATCTTTACTTGCAGTCGGAACGAACGAGACAACCTTTGGAAGCGGACAAATCTATATCTTTGGCCAGAAGAGAGTACAAGCCAAGCTTACTTTACCCCGCCGAGCATCAGTCAAAATTTTACAATTTTGCGCCGACAGACTTATCAGCGTTGATTCGAAGAACGAAGTGATAGTATGGGATTTGGCAACGGCGAAAAAGTTGGTGGCTTACTCTCCGCCAGGAGTTGTGATCACTATTGTGACGGATCCTATGCTGGATTGGTGTTTGATCGGATTACAAACTGGAGACATCATATGCTACGACTTAGATAGAGAGAAGCTTGCGCCTTTACGACTTCCAAATTTCTGGCGCGAAAAGAATCCTCGGTCGAGATTATTGAGTTGTGTGTCTCTACAATTACATCCCAGAGATATTGGACAATTGTTGATAGGATATACGGAGGGAGCGGTGATATACTCGTTCAAACAGAACAAACCCATCAAATTCTTTCAATATGAAATCCCAGCTGGAGCTCCTGGTGGAAATGGAGATCCAATGGGAAAGAATGCGCCGAGACAACCGCGTCTTACGCAAGCGCTATGGCATCCAACAGGTACGTTCATTGCTACAGCGCATGATGATGCAAGTATCGTCATTTGGGATCCTAAAGATGGAAGAATTGTGATGGCTCGAACTTTACAAGATACACATGTGAATGTACCTGATTCTCGACAGGAAAGTCCTAGCAGTAACGCTGGTACTTTCTCTCTAAAGGGAGATTTCGCAAAGATAGCTTGGTGTTGCAAGGATAATCCCGATGATACTGGTCTTCTCGTAGCTGGAGGTGTACCTACCACCATGGCTACCAAAGGTATGACATTCATGGAATTGGGAGTAACTCCAGTGTATGCGACATCAACTTGGCCAGTCTTAACTGATCACTTTAACACGAAACGTCAGCACTTCATACCAACTCCAACTGGTGCCGAAATCGTGGATTTTTGTCTGATCCCTCGTAATTCTCCACATTTTGCCGGTGCTCAAGATCCTATTGCCATTATTGCACTTCTCTCATCTGGAGAGCTCGTTACATTGAGCTTCCCTAGTGGTCATCCTATCTCGCCCACCAATCAACTCCATCCTTCCCTTTCATTTATTCATCCTTTTGTCAATTTCATGGCAGTATCTGCTGTAGATCGAGGACGATGGCTTGGAATGACAGAAACTCGTGCCATAGGTCCTCAGCTTTTAAAAGGAGGAGCAGAAGGAGTAAAACATCTACGGAGATCTGAAGCACGGAATGTCATTCAGACCGCTCACGGGGATGGCACTGTCAGGATCTGGGACGCTGGACATGGGGATGAACTAGAAAATTCTAGCGCACTACAAGTTGATATCGCCAGAGCCGTTGCACGTCGTGAAGATGTCAATATTTCTGCTATCAATATGGCTTCAACTACTGGAGAATTGTGTGTTGGTACCACGGCTGGCGAAGCTGTGGTTTATAGATGGGGTGGTAACAGAGCGTATGGTAGTGAGCAACCACCGAATGAGACTCGACGAGGAGGTATTACGGATATTTCCGTCCGTGGTGAGCCATCTCTCAAAGAAGGTCTACAGCCATTCATTCTTTATGACATGGCACAAGGACCCATAAGTGCGATACAAATGTCAGATGTCGGATTCGTCGGAGTTGGATCTGAAGGCGGAGTCTTCTCAATCATCGATCTCCGAGGGCCATCTGTCATTTTTACCGCCGCAATGAGTGACTTCATAAAACAAGACAAAAAAAGTGGTTTTATGAGAAAGGGAAGTAGCCAAACTTCTCCGAAACCAGAATGGCCTGTATGTATCGAATTTGGTGTCATGACGCTGGACGACGACAAGTATTCTAGCATTGCTTGTTTCGTGGGAACGAGCAATGGTAAAGTTGCCACTTTCAAGGTCTTACCACAGCAAAATGGCGGATACACAGCTCAGTTTGCGGGAGTAACTGCTTGCTCCGACAAAGTAATTTCAATCACACCCATTGTGGCTGAAACGGGACAACCCGCATTAGCAACTGGACCTACGGTAGCTGCGCTTCGCAGTGGACAGCAAACTCATGGTGCTCTTGTAGTTGGTAAGTCCTTTCTCGATTCCTAAAATATTACGATTACAGGACTTGATGTTAACAATCGAATAGTAACTCAAACCGAAGCCCGCATCTTCAAACCTTCTAGCGCTAGAGGTGCTCACAAAACCTTCGACGATGTCTTTTGTGACTCCGCTGCCGTCACCGAATTCGAACTTCATGGTTTTGCTCTCGTAGGAGTTTTTGGCGATGGAACAGCTCGCGCTTACTCGCTCCCAGCCCTCAAAGAAATTGGAATGTCCAAACTCGATATGTTAGACAAAACTCGCTCTTCTAACAGTCTTGTCACACCCTCTGGCGATATCTTAGGCTGGACCGGCCCGAGTGAGATCGCGATGGTCAATGTCTGGGGAACTGGATTGCCACTCGGCAGAAGCCAAGATAAACTATACAACCCGGAAGCCTTAATCCCTCCACGTCCCACCATCTCAAATCTCCAATGGATATCAGGAACTCAATACGTTTCACCCACCGATTTGGATCTCCTAATCGGTGGTCCAGATCGTCCAGCTAGTAAACGCATGCTCGCTGCATCAGCCGAGGAGGGTCGTTTGGCTCGTAGTGCTGGTGGTGGAGCCGGACCTAGTGCGAGTCAAGGTCAAGAAGGATGGGGTGATTATATGACAAGACAGCTTAATGAGAGGACGGAGAAACTTAATATTATGGGGGATAATATGGATAAAGTGCAGGAGAATAGTGCGGGGTGGGCAGATGATGTTAATAAGTATGTTAATAAACAAAAGAGGAATATGGTATTAGGGGGCATTACTGGGAAGTGGTTTTAGATGTGAGAGATGGGTAAGAAGATGTATGGATGTATGGATGTCTGGATGTTGGAGAGTCTATGGATGTATGGTCGGGCGTTTTTGGGATTTTGTGGATACCTGGCCTATGAAGCACGCTTTGAGAATACTTTCCTTAGAGAAATTATGTGCAAAGTGTGCGCATTTGTTGATGAGCGTTAGATCTAGTGATTCTAGCTTTATGTCATCTCATTACTACAGAATCAATATCAAGATTGAAATGATTATTACCTTTCGGCATACGATCTTAAGAACTGTACAGTAGGAGTTACATTGATTTTGATTTGAATATCAAACATCTCTATCCCATTCTAACATATCAGATGGTAAAATGATAGTACAGTATATATGATATTGAATTGTGTTGGTGGGTAAATACTCCACAGGGGACAGACTAGATTGAATTAGACTAGTTCTAGGTCAGGTCAGGCCATGCCAGGCCGGTCCAAAACCAATATGTCTGTATATACATAGCGAGGTCTGGAGGCAATAGCTACAACCTACTCGAGCAATGAATTTTGAGCTACGGACAAATTAGTCTCAAGCAATTACATACTCGAGTACGTTGATTGTACTTTGTGTATGTATTAGGGTATGAGATTTGAGATTTGAGAGTTGAGAGTTGATGAAAATAGGTCGATGCATTTGGTTTATTATGTAGATATAAGTTATGTGAATTACTGGGAGTTGGTTGTTAATTGTTAATTGTTGGTTGTTGATATGCATATGTATATTGTATACTCAAGTAGATCTAGGTCGGATTCGTAAGGCAGTGAGTTAGTTAATTAGCGAGTGCTAAGCCACACTGCTGACTGGCAGTGATCCGGGTCTCCAGGAGGTGTACAAGACTGAAGGGAGGTAGTGAGGAGGTTGATATTGGGTTGTGGTTAAGGTTAACTTCAGGTCGGGGCCTAGTGTGGTGGATATTAGGGCTAGTTTTATCAACAGCGACCTATGGATTTTTTATTCTATTGCCTGATTATTATTCTTAAAGGCTGGATCTGGTATTTCATGGCTGGTAATGGGACGCCATATGGTCGGTCAATTGAGTGATAAGAATAAAATGAGTTCAGAACCGGAATTGGAATATATCTATTCCAGACCAGACCTAGAGAGCCTCCCTCAACCATATGTATACGGTCGCGAGCATGAGTTTATGTTGATACCTAGGGCTGTGTGTGTATGTATGTAGAAACAAGTGTATATGTCCCTTTTCTTAACTATAAAGCTGTTAGATTTCCTCTACTATAGTTATTTATTATATATCATACAATCAGTTGCATACAATACAATACAATACAATACAATACAATACAATACAATACAAAATAACAGACATCCAATCCAATCCAAGTCTCTCTACTCTCTCTATTCCCAAGTTCCCTCATTGAATATCTGGCATAAATCACACCGAATCCAATACCATCACTTCACCCAACCAGCCAGCCAAAACCTCCCAACAACCTTCCAAAATGGCACCCAGCACCAACAGCAGCAGCAGCAAGGCCATCGAGAAGCCTCTCAAATCAGCCATGAAGCAAACATCCGGCACAGGGTCGAAGACAGTGCGAGTAGTAGCTCCATCGGACAAGAAGAAGAGGAGCGCGAGTGGTAGTCCTGAAAGAGGAGGTAACAAGCTTGTGACTAAGAAGTAGTGGTAGTGGTACTGTAGTGATGAATACCTATGATACTCGTGATTCCATTTACGGAGTTGTGTACTGGTACTGGTAGATTGAGAAAGAAAGCGAGTGAGGGGAGTAGGGGTTGGAGTTTAGAATTAGATTAGGGTGTTCGAGTAACGGTATTGGTATTGGTTATGCGTTTAGATTGGCAAGGATAGATTGGGTAGATGATATTGGAAATTGGAGTTTTGGCGTTTAGGTTCCTTTGTTGTTTTTGTTTTTATCTGCTATTGGTTAACAATTATCCTCAGGAATACATAAATGGTATACCATATACTATACTCCATCCAAAAATAAAAAATTGAATGATTATCAGATGTATGTCTATACCTATCTATCTATCAATATCAATATCAATAACAGTATCAGTATTGAAAAGAAATTTAGACTATACCTTCTAAACCCCTTCTTTTTGAAAAATTTCTCGCTTCTTTCTCCCCTTTCCCCTTTCTCTTCCCCCTTTCCATATGTATACATATCATTCTCCAACCCAATCCACATAAAAACGATAACGTATCTACACATTCAGGCCTTTATTTGATATGATATATATTAACCACCCTCTAATATCCCCTTCTCTCTTCTTATATCATATAACCAGGTATCTTATATCATATAACCAGGTATCCTACAAATATATAAATACAGAAACATATAAATACATATATACATAAACACACAAAGACATATATATACATATACTCATACTATAATATAAATCCTCATACTCGAATAAACATATCGACATTCTTCCAACATTCTCCTCACATTCTCCTCACAATATCCAAACAATCAGAGTGGCTAATCAGTCAGTCAGGCAGCGATCAGCGAGCCCCCAATTCGCAGCTGAATGGCTGACAATATATCGTAGTCGCTGTTGAATGGCTGATATCGCTGATGGTAGGAGAGCAATATCACACACAATGCATCAACGAGAAAAGGCTACACAAGACCAGATGGAAAAGTTTCATAATTTTTATGCTATACTAACAGTACTTGAAAGCCTATGTGATATTCCTGTTTAAGCCTTTCGCAATCATCATGTAATCATCTTTATATTGCTTCCCCCCCAGTCATGACATATCGTAACGCGCTCAATGGACCAAAATAAAAACTATGCATGGGGTATAAAATCAGTGGGCCATAACCGCATCGACTTGATGTGTAACGCCGCCAGCCTTCTCAGCACCAGACTTTTCAACTCCATCCATTTCCATGTCATCATCTCCGGCACCCTCTTCTTCATCGACTTCTTCATCAGATTCGCCACTGCTCTCAGCCTCGAGATCTTCACTTTCATCACCGGTTTCCTCAGCGGCAGCGCCCTCGACTTCTGCACCAGCCATCTCTGAATCTTGTTCCATTGCGTCTGGATCAACGGCACCGCCTTCCTCTCCCTCGACCTCCTCGTCATCATCCTCTCCAGCTTCATCGACACCATATTCTTCTCCATCGGCAACCAAATCGGCCTCAGGTTGTTCGGGAGGAAATTCAGCAGGGGCAGATTCATCCGAGTCCCTGCAATTCAAGGTTAGCAGGCTACTCCACTTCACATTTGCATAATGACCCACCACTTGATAGAAAATCTAGTGACACGGGGCTTCTCAGCAAGAACATTTCTCTTGACTCGGTCAAGAAGTGGCTTGGCGGGGGGGTCGGCGTTTAATTCCTCAGAATCATATTCGTTGTTCACATAGTAACCAACTCTAACAAACTCTCTACCATCGTAGGCGCAAGTGAGAAGAATGACAGTGACGCCGAGGATTTCTGCATCTGGGATTCGCTTGGTATCGGGGGCATCTGCCTGGAAGAGGAATTTGTTTACGCCGACTGGAATAGGACCAACGAGGAGCGAATCGAGTTCTTGATCATGTTCATCACTTTGATTATTAGTTTTCGATTCGAGATAGGCAGATTTTGAGATAGGTGGAGACATACGACGTGGCAGAACCAACATAGGTCAATTTCCATTCAAGATCTGGAGTCAACAGAAAGATTAGTGACTGAAAGAATCAAGAAATATATGGCCCCAAAGACTGGAAGTGAAAGAGGAAGAACCTACCCTTTTGCAATGCCTCAAGACACTCAAAGGTGATCTCAAACTCATAGGAATCACCAAATTTGGCTGGATTGTTGAGAACATTGACACCGAGAAGTGAGACGACAGACATTTTGATAGTGGGAATGTTTTGATTGGGTAAGGTTTAGAAGGTTGCAAAATTGGGATTCAAGATATGTACTCTTTTTAACCAAAAGATAGCGATTCAGTGGAAGGTTGCGCGAGAAGTTATGAGTTATAAGAAGTAGTGTTTGTGTGAGTATTGAGGAAGAGAAGAGTGAGAGAGAGAGAGAAAGAGTGAGAGAGAACACGGATTGAGGGGGAATAAAAGTTGATAATTTGGTTGATGGGGCAGCATTAGAGCATTAATTAGTTTCAAGGCGGCAAGAAGCGGCAGTAATAATCCGTAAACGCGTTATCGGTAAGTAGTAGTACTAGGGTGGGTAGATCCAAATCGCGTGGACCAGTGGACCAATGGACTGCGATTTCCACACTTATATAATATACTAACCATACTAGGCTTAGCTTATAAATCATTTTCTTTGCCGTGGAGCTCCATCAGCTTTGCCGACTTACAAAGGAAGGAAATCTATCTTATATGATTTCTGCAACAAACACAATCAAAACCTCAACAACGTCGCTAACGACAACAACCAGAATTGATTGATCTCGATTTTTAATTTCTCTGTCGCGCAATAATCTTTTGAATCTGCGCAGGTTTGTTTAACGGTGCATACAGGACACGGGATACAGGTTAGCTTTACCTTGCCTTTTCGACATCTTTCCTAATACCTCGTAAAGTTGTTTGCTCACACTCACTTTCAGCCTTTTTTCATTAATATCTATCATACCTTTCCCACCACCTTTTGCGCATCTACATAATAAATCGAAACGGTTCTCAAAATGGCGGAGGAAGATGCAGACATAGCTCTTTTACATCAGTTACAGGCAGGACAAGATGCTACGGCTTGGGAAGATGGGGATACTGGTACCGCAGATGGTGATCAACCTTCCAATACAGAAGATAACAACGAACATGTCAAGCAAGATTCCGTTAAAGATGCCCAAGTTTCTCGTGCTTTGTCTCCTTCAGGCGCAGCTGCGTTGACTCCTGGCGGCGATTATGATCCTTCCTCTATCACATCCCTTCCAGCGATGGTCACTGAACTAGATCGCTCAAGACCTAGTTCTCAAACTTCTGTGCGCAAACCAAAAACTGTCGGAGGATTTATAGCAGATGATTCTGATGAGGAAAATGACGAATCTACACCACTTACTACTGGTCATTTGCAACTTCCAGCTTCTGATAATTCCAAACGATCTCCCTCCCCATTGCAAAATCCTGTTACCCAACAGGAAGTGTCTATCAAGATGGAGAATCAAGATGATTCCAAGGCTGAAGCATTATCCTCCATCACTAATTCTATGAACCCGAGTGACGTGGGAACACCCACAGCACAAATTTCGGTGCAAGTGCCCATCTCCGTTGGTACAGCACAACATACCTCCGTCCCCAGAGCTCGTCTTCCACATGATAAGATTGGTATGCTTGAAGATCGTGTCAAGGAGGATCCGCGAGGTGACATGGAAGCCTGGCTTTCTTTAATTGGTGAACATCGGAAGCGTAACAAGTTGGATGATGCGAGAGCAGTTTATGAGAGATTTTTGAAGGTCTTCCCACACGCTGTAAGTAATACACAATGATGTGCCATACTTCATTTACTAACCGCGAATCAGGCGGAGATCTGGGTGGCCTACACCGAGATGGAACTCGAATACGAGAACTTTAGTGCAGCAGAACAGATCTTTGGCAAATCATTGTTGACTGTCCCGAATATTCAACTCTGGTCGGTCTATCTGAACTATATACGCCGAATGAACGACCTTAATGTCGATCCCAGTGGTTCTGCTCGTGCAACGGTTTCCCAAGCCTACGATTTTGTATTAGCAAACATTGGTATTGATAGGGACTCAGGTAAAATTTGGCAAGATTACATTCAATTCATTCGTAGTGCACCTGGTTCCATTGGTGGCAATAGTTGGCAAGACCAACAAAAGATGGATCAATTGCGAAAAGTCTATCAACGTGCCATATGCGTTCCCATGTCAAACGTGAATGAATTATGGAAACAGTATGACCAGTTTGAGATGGGCTTGAATAAGATGACGGTGAGTTTGGTTCTTAAATATCTTTGGTTCAAGGCTGACAGGTTATATTAGGGTCGTAAATTTCTTCAAGAAAGATCTCCAAATTACATGACTGCAAGAAGTGCCAACACTGCGCTAGAAAATCTCACACGGGGACTTCAGCGTACAACTTTACCGCGACTCCCACCTGCCTTTGGATTTGAGGGCGATCAAGAATATTTACATCAACTGGAGCTATGGAAGAAGTGGATATCTTGGGAGCAGGAGGATCCGTTGGTTCTAAAGATAGACGAATTGGATGCTTACAAACAGCGAATATTATACGTCTACAGGCAAGCTGTCATGGCATTACGTTTCTGGCCTGAGATTTGGGTCGATGCTGCTGAGTGGTGCCACAACAACAATTTAGAGAAGGAAGGAGATAACTTCCTTGCGGATGGAATCGTCGCAAATCCAGAGAGCTGTTTATTGGCCTTCAAAAAAGCCGACCGACTTGAATCTACACTTCCTACCGAAGAAGCCGGGAAGAGCGATCTTGAAAAAGGAGCAATTGTTCGGGCTCCATACACTAAGCTTCTGGAGTCTCTGTATGAGCTCATTGCGGATTTGAAAGTCAGGGAGACGAAAGAAAAGGCTAAACTTGAGGAAAACTCCGCCATTGACGCCTCTATCAGTGCAATTGTGAGAAAGGCAGAGGATGATGATGATGACAGTGATCCCGACAAAGATGCCCGGGAAACCTTTAAAGCAGCCCAATTGAGTGCTATTACACAAGGTTTTGAAATGCAGAGAAAACTTTTGCAGCGAACCGTATCTTTCTCTTGGATTGCACTAATGAGGGCCATGCGGCGCATTCAAGGAAACGGTTCGATTGAAGCAAAGACCGGATCAAGATTCATCTTCGCCGAAGCTCGTCAGCGCGGCATGATTACAAGTGAAGTTTACGTTGCCAGTGCCTTGATTGAACACATGGTATACAAGGACAAATCTGGTACAAAGATCTTCGAGAGAGGCGCTAAACTTTTTCCAACCGATGAAGCTTATCTTCTAGAGTACTTGAAGCACTTGATTTCCATTTCAGACATCACCAGTATGTTCTTCTCCGAAAACCTTTTTATTTTATGGTGCTAATAATGAGATAGATGCTCGGGTTGCTTTTGAGACAGCAGTCAGTCGTTTGGCACAGAGACCTGAAACTGTTCACAAGACGAAGCCGCTCTATGTTTATTTCCATAGCTACGAATCTCAATTCGGAACTCTAGATCAGATCAAGAAGCTAGAAAAGCGAATGGCGGAACTCTTCCCAGATGACCCAAAACTTCTGAGGTTTCCCTCGCGTTACAGTGCAGATGGATTTGACCCTACTGCTGTACGACCCATTGTCTCGCCTGCTTCACAAATGAGACCCAAGTTGGTTATGCAATCGATTGAGCAAGCTCCCTCCATTCCAGACAGTCCTCGACCTCAATACGTGCAAGAACAAAGCCCACGACCACAGCAACCACCACAGTTCATGCCGAACCATAACACGAACTCACCAAAGCGACCTTTTCCAGCCGATGACTTCGAGAGCGACCTCAACCCTCCACGAAAACTAGCTCGTGGTCAGTCTCCCCTGAAGGGGGCAGCAGGACGCAGATTAGCGCAGCAAAAGGGAATACAGCAAACGCAAGGAACACCCACCTGGCAATCCAATGCGGCACCCTACGTGATCCCGCGAGACATCACGTTTCTCCTTAGCATCATCCCTCGTGCCGATATCTATGGTCGCGATCCACAGCTGAAAGACGTTAAATTCAATACAAATGCTTTGGTTCAATTCCTTGCCAGAACTGAGGTGCCTGATTTCGTGCAGTGGAAGAGTGCACGGGACCAAACTCAACAAACTCAACAAACTCAACAACCACAACAACGCTATGACGGTATGATACCCAGTTACCAAGCTCCCAATACTCGTGAATCTTATGGTTACGGTGTACAAAATACTGGAAATAATGGATATTCTGGAGACCCGAGTCGTATGTCACAGCCTGGTTATCCTCCTGTAGATGATCGAGTTTCAAGCGTAATTCAGGGTCATGATTACATCAGGTCTCCTGTTGCACCTCAGGATAATCAATGGGGAGGGGGATATAGCCAGGCGCCTTCTCATTCACGAAATGCGAGTTTTGAGAACAGAGGATGGCAAGGGCAGCAGCAACAAGCTGGACCATACACGCAAACTCAATATCCTGGAAATGGAAATCCCAATGGCGGATATTATCATTGAAGCTAACTTTTGAATCTTCTACAGGATATTCTTATCGATGATAATTTGTCCTTTATAGGGGCCATAATTCCACCGACTTCGCTTTCATGATCTTTCCTTCATCATGATACCAAATCTAAAATCACGATGTACTTTTAAACCACTTTTCTTACTTCTTTAACCCGCTTTACATATGTCCAAGTTCTCTTCAAAGTCAAGGCCATCTATTGTTGATCGACGGTGGGGGATGGGCTATTGCTTGTTCTGCATAATCTTTTCGACTAAAGAGTTCACACCGTACGCGTTTGCTATTCTTTGGGTGGGAGGGGGATGACTGTAATGGAAGTCAAAATCATGCACAAGGATATGCATGTTTCTTTCTTCACAGTATGGCGTTTGGGGGAGGCTGCAGTTTCTAAGGCATGAGGCCAGCCAGTCAGCTCTGAATGTACATTAAAGAAGCATACGGCATAATTGATGAATGCAAATAATGATATATCATTATACCCAGATCGGTTCTTATATGTGTCCGTTTGATTGATTTCTTAGCTTGCATAAGGGGACATTGAGTGAGGAGTTATTGGCGAGTAATTGCTGCTCTTAATCTATATCATACGGAGAGCCGCAGACGCTGGCGCAAACTCAAACTCAAACCCAAACTCAAACTCAAACTCAAACAGTCGACCAATTGATTCCATAAATTCTTTATATATGCAAGTAACCGTCAAGTATCATCAACATGCGTCATGAACGACGCGGCTATTACTGACTCAAAAGACTGTTTGAAATTCACTAGGTATTCATTATGATGACGATATTGATCAAAGAGATTACATCTGAAGCTCTGTCGTCCTTTCTCTCTCCCAAATACCTCTGGAAAGAACAATTCCTCTCATCTCATCTTTCATACCTCGGTCTCTTGAACTCAATTCATTTTCAAAAGTTTTCCTTATCCAATCACATCAGAGAAAAAAAGAACAAATTCTTGCCTATTCGTAATTTTGAACACTAGCGCCATTTACCCTGTTGGCCGGTGGTTGCTATTCATTCGGACGCTCTTGCCATTTTTAACAAGCGACGGTTAGTATAATATTGGTCGCTGTCGCCTCTTCCTCTTCCACTTCCACTTCTTCCACTTCTTCCACTTCCTCTCTTCCTCTCTTCCTCTCTTCCTCTCTTCCTCCTACAACCTTTTATTTACAACATCATTTTCTTGACAATCATAATTACCATCGATCTACGTAGCAAAGTACAAGTAAGTATTTCCTTTTCATTCAGAGTGCAATTGTTACGTTTCTCTCTATCAATTACGACTTGGAAACTTATTTTTGGAATGAAGTCGCGTTTGTTTGCTCTTTGATACTGGTGGTTGCTTGCTTAGCAACTCGGTTTCTTCAAGCTCCAAATACAAAAGATTTATCTACCATATCGAACTGATGAGCCAACTCGATCTCATCTGGTCTTTGATTTAAAACTTTCAGTTCTTAGGCTAATTCAATTTGTTTCATAGCTTTGCTGCCACAATCTCTTGTTATTGTGCGCACAATACAGCACAACAGCACAACAGCAATAATAACAACAACAATCACTCCGTGGTGATCAACTTTTGGTGAGTGAACAAACTTTTTTTTATCTCCCATCACCTTTCTTAGCAGTGGCTTTACATCTCTATCTCATCATTGCCATCGCCATCGCCATCGCCATCAACCACGATATGTCAATATCGTAGTATCGTCACGATCTAAGTTTCAATGTCATCTTCCTTCGTATTCTCATATCATCAACACGTTATCGTTCAGTTTTCTCTTGGTATACCTGTCACTTGCTAACATCATACCTATCAAATTGTAGACGCCACAAAACCGACATCATGGGCGTAGGTCAACAGCGTCGCACCAATCAGGGTCCAGATTCATCTGCTGGCAACCCTGGTCAGCAACAACAATCACGTCCTTCAGGACCACCATCTGTCGCCGGTGGACCACAAGCTTCTTCATCAGGTCGCCCACTTTCGGCTGGTTTTGACGGACCCGGTGAACCGAAGACCAACCCGTTTGGCCCAGGTCTCGGCTTTGATCCTGCCAGAGACCCCGGGAAGGATGAGTCGAGAAAGTTTAACACTCGTGTTGAGCTTCCATGTTATCGAGATAACGTGAGTAATACCTTTTGTTTGTTAATATGTGATGTGGTGTTTGGTCATGAATGTTTTTGCAAGCTATGAGAAAGGTGTTGCTGCTTCAAGGAAGTGGGCCAAGCTACATGGTGTTGTTACATTCATTGTCGGTAATGATTCTATGGATAGCTGTCACCTTTTGGTGTAGTGTCAACCTCGCTGTCGCCCCCACCTCCGCTATACTCACAAGGTTGTTGTATGAAGCAAACCTCCCTTCCTTCCCTTCCCTACCCCTCTTTACTATCCTTGACTTAGGTACCTTATCCAAGCTTGGCAAGTTAGTTGCTTGTCCGAATTGAATTGCTTCGGAAAGTACGAGGGGAAACTGAAAGCAGTGACCCAATCCACAACACTCATACCCCGCTCTGAGCAAATTACATTGAGAGAAGTGAAGTAGTAAATTATTCACTTCCCCGGGTCTTTGCGTGGTTTCCCTCCCCACCTTCCCCCATTAGCTCCAAACTACCGTCTACAAAAGAGCTCTCCCTCTTCCCTCCACCTCCGTCTTTCTTACAACCAAACACTCCTCTACCTCCTACTCTACCTTCAGCTATCTTTAACACTTACACATAACCATACACATCATTATTCCACTAGAACCAATATTCACAATCTACTACCACCTTTCAAAGTCTTTGTTGCAGGTTGATTCTTCACTCTGCTTTTCTGACTTTCCCTTCTCACTTCACATTCCTATCCACTAAATATCCCTACCTCTATACTCCATTTATTTCACCTTCGCCGTGACCTCAATCTACCGCCAGCATGGAGTATCGCAATTATGGAGTCCGTGATGCTGATGACAAAATGCAGTATGATATTCCGGCTTCCAGCATTCTTCCTGCTCGTCCAGGATATAACACCAATGGCAAGGCTGTCAGCATCCGCGTCAATCAGTACAAGGTCCTTGACGCCCCGAGAAACGATATCTACCAGTACGATGTAAGTATTGAAACTTCCTCATAACTCACCTTCAAATGCTAATGAACAATTTAGATCTTGGTCGGTCAAGGTGGCGAGAAGATGGGCCTCATAAAGAAGGTTTGGGAGTCTCGCCCGGTCCAGGCAGAATTGGCAAAGCATGGTAAGATGTGGCTTTGGGATGGTAACAAGATCGCTTGGTAAGTGACTTTCATCCACCTGGGCTCCCACAGGGTACTTACATTATTTAGGTGCGCCAATCCAATGGCTCGTGGCGAAGTCCGTGTTCCAGTTGATCTGGATGTGGAGAATGGTCGCCCACCAAATGAAGATCGCATCATCTATTGCATCATCAAGCAGACAACCACTATTAGAATGGCCGCTTTGCACGCTTATCTCAATAAGCAAATTGAATTTGACAACAGTGTTCTCTGCGCTATCAGTAAGTCTTTTCGATGCAATTTTCAGCCAGTCAACTAACTCTCATTCAGACTTCCTTGACCACATGCTTCGCCAATGGCCCAGTGAACAATTCACTGTCCAAAAGCGCAGTTTCTTCGCTCGTGGACCCAACCGTTGTCCTCTGGACAAAACAATTGAGGCTATGAAGGGTGTATACTCTTCAATCCGTCTTTGCAACCACGTCGCTGAGGGTAATGCCATTCGTGGTCTTGCGATTAACGTCGATGTTGCCAATGGCACATTCTGGACTTCCCAAGATGTCATGCAGGCTGCTCGCAACGTGTGCGGTCTTCGCAGTAATAGAGCCCTCAACTGGGATGTCTTTCGTCAAAATCTCCTCCCAAGATTGAACGAGAAGGGTACTAGATATGAAAAGTCTTCAGATTTCAAGACTCTTGACAAGATGAAGAAGTTGAAGTTCCATCTGAAGCATCATGGCAAGCAGGAAGGTATGCTGATCCTCTCCCGTCACAGATGATTATGACTAACATTCGATACTAGATAAGAGAGTTTATACCATCAAGGCTTTTACTTACCCTAAGCATGAGAAGTACTTCAAGACAGGCCTCAATGCTAAGAACCAGTGCTTCACCCCCAAAGATACTAACAAGGAGATCTCTGTCTACGATTACTTCAAGAAGAAGTATAACATTACCCTGCAGTATTGGTGGGCCCCATTGATCGAGACCGAGAGAGCAGGCTGGTTCCCAATGGAGGTCTGTACCTTGCTTCCCAATCAGAAGTACCAATTCAAGCTTGATCCCGACCAGACTGCTGCCATGATTAAGTTTGCGGTCACTCGTCCAAAAGTTCGTTTGGAATCGATCGAGCACGGTCTTGGCATGTTAAAGTGGGATGAAGATCCTTACCTCAGTCACTTTGGTTGCAAGATCGAAAAGAAGATGACCACGGTTAGTTATCCTGCCATATTTTCCTCCTTGATATATGATTACTTAGACATTCTCAGACCCAAGCTCGTCTTCTACCCAACCCGGTGATTCAATTTGACAGGGCCACCATTGACCCCAAGACCTCTGGCCGCTGGGACTTACGTGGCAAGAAGTTCTTATATCCCAACCCGGAACCATTGAATTCATGGGCTGTTGTCATCGTTGGTGACTGCATCCAAGTCCCTGCCGTTAAAAACTTCCTGCAGGTCTTTATCCAAACCTACATTGGTCATGGTGGTAAAGTCCAGAATAAGAATCCTCCCATTGTTCCATGCGCCAACAAGGTAGAGATGATCGCTGATGGCGTTCAATATGCTCGAACTCAAGCTGGTCAACAAACCAAGCAGACGCCTCAGATCTTGTTCTTTATCTTGGGAGGTCGAGATTCTTTCATCTACGAGCGTTTCAAGAAGAACAATGAATGCCGTTTTGGAATGGTTTCTCAAAGTGAGTTCCAATTCACCCATTCTCAAAAGCTCAACTAACCAAAATTAGTGATGAATGTTGCTCATGTCAGCAAGGCACAACCTCAATACTGCTCCAATGTCTGCATGAAGGTCAACGCCAAGCTAGGTGGAACCACTTGCAAGGTAGCTGACACTAAGCCACCTAAGCCATTTTTCTCTCGACCGACGATGATCATTGGTGCCGATGTTTCCCACGCAACACCAGGCTCGCCACAATCATCAATGGCCTGCTTGACCATGTCAATGGATTCCACTGCTTGTCGATATGCTGCTGCGGTTCAGACCAACGGGCACCGTGTTGAAATGATTTCCAAGGATAATATCAAGTCCATGATGATTCCGTTGTTTAGACAATGGATTACCAAGGTTGGCAAGGGATCGGGACCTCAACACATCTATTATTTCAGAGATGGTGTTTCCGAAGGTCAATTTGAACATGTCATCAACCAGGAGATTAAGGACATGAAGGATGCTCTCGGAGAAGCTTTTGGTGCCCAAGGTGCTTCTGTAAGTGGTTGCCTGTTTCCAACTCTCGAATTACTCTTACTGATTCCTCTTAGATTCGTTGGACTGTCACCGTATGCACCAAGCGTCATCATCTTAGATTCTTTCCTAGGGATGGTGACATGGCAGCTGGCGACAAGAATGGAAACGCTCTTCCAGGTACCTTGGTTGAACGTGATATTACCCATCCATTCGAGTATGACTTCTACTTGAGCTCGCACTCTGCCATTCAGGGTACTGCTCGACCAACTCATTATCAAGTCATCATGGATGAGGCCAAGATTCCAGTCAATGACTTTCAACGCATGGTCTACCAGCATTGTTATCAGTACATGCGCTCTACGACTCCTGTCTCTTTGTGTAAGTTTTACCTTGCCTCGATGATTTCTCTATTTACTAACATACTTTTAGACCCTGCCGTTTACTATGCACATATAGCTTCTAATCGTGCTCGTGCACATGAGGCTCAAGGCTTTAGTGCGGGACCTCGTGGTGGAGAGAAGTTCCTCGAGAGACAACAAGCCGAAGCCGCCGAGAGAGTTGCAAGAGGCGAGAGCCGTCCAGCAACCAGTCAAACCGGTTCAAGCAACTTGGTGCAAGATGTGCCGCTTCTTCCCTTGGGCACAATTAACGCGGCAGACAATGTCAGCCTTGACGTTCTCATCAAGATTCGCACTGGTATGTGGTACATTTAAGTGCCTTGACATATTCAATCACCACCGTGATCTTTGACCTTTGTCCTTGATCTTAACACTTTTTTACTTCTTTATTCTGTTTTACTACAACTCTTTCTGATCCTCGGATCCTCGGATCCTACGATTTCTCAATCTTTCTCTGCTTGCTAGTTGCTATCGCAATTGGTTTATGAGGGATTTGGGAATAGGACTTTTACTTTCACTTCTTCAGACTTTGATCTCATCTCCGATTTCTTTCGGGGATTGATTTTTAAGGATCTTCTCTTTGATTTGTGCATATGGGTACCTGAAAGTCATCATGGACTTGGTGATGGGAAAGATATTATTGATCAACGGAATATTCATTCAGTCTAGCGGTGCGATGCTTGCAAGGAGGTTTTTTCTTTCTCATTTCATTTGAGTGTAGCTTGTGGTTGATATCTTCGGTTGAAGAGACTTCCTATTAAGGTGCAGATATGGATGAGAATCAAGAGTCTTGCGGTGGTACTTTGCTAGATTTTAAAGGAAATGACAAGTGCGATTGCATTTTAATTTGGTAATTTCTTGGTGATGATTGTGATGTGACTTGGAGAATATGAAATAGTCTTGAGACTTTCGTTTATCTTTGAGTATCAGATTAGGCAATAAAGGCCTTGAATATATATAGTGATGATGATAATGAGAATCTTTTGATTGATTATATATACATTAGCAATACGAGTATGGGTCTATGGAAAATTCCACAAAAGATGTATCCAATATATCTAATGAAGATAAGAGGAGTAGTTCTAGATTGTAATTCAATAATAAGACATTCTTGATTTTTGTATAGATATTCCCATCTTCTGCTTCTGCTTCTGCTTGTATAACTATACGGTACTGTACTGTACAGGAGATATATCCAAGTGTCGCGAAACAAACCTAGAGAGAGAGAGAGAGAGAGAGAGAGAGAGAGAGAGAGGAGGAAGATGTAGAACACCA